TCTTTCCTTTTCTTTTCTTTTCTTTTTTAGAGAAAGGGTCTCACTCTGTCATCCAGGCTGGGGTACAGTGGCACGATTGTAGCTCACTGCAGCTTTGAACTCCTGTGCTCAAGTGATCCTCCCACCTCAGCCTCCTGAGTAGCTGAGACAACAGCCGCACACCACTACATCTGCCTAATTTTTTTATTTTTATTTTTTTGGTAGAGATGGGGGTCTTGCTATGTTGCCCAGGCTGGTCTCGAACTCCTGGTTTCAAGTGATGCTCCACTTTGGCCTCCCAATGTGTTGGGATTACAAGTGTGAGCCCCCACACCAGGCTGCTATTTTTCTGGTAGCACTTTTCACCACCTGACATATATTTACTTGTTTGTATGTTGATTGTTTGTTTCTCTCACCAGACTGGGAGATTCCTGAGGGCAGGGACCATGTCCAGTTTTGCTCATGGCAGAATCCCTATCACAGGGCCTGGGAAGTCAATAAATAATTGTGAAATAAATGGTTCTGAAACTGAAATGCTCTCCGAGAGTCTTTCTGAGTCTGACCATTTCAAAGTCTTGGAAATGACTATGATTCCCCACCCCAACATTTCCAGTGGCCAGGGGTGGCCTCTAAGGGCCAGTCACCACCAAGAAGCTGCTAATCTGGGAGCCTCTCTCAGCCTCTCCCCATCCAGGCCCACCTGGTAGGGGTCAAGGGTCAACGTGGTCCAGCCCTCTGTGGGTCCTGAGGTAGAGGAGACGCAGTTCTGGGGTCCAGGCCGAGGGACGCCTGGTGAGCCCCATTTCTGCTTTGGCAAACATCCTCCTTTCCTTCTCAGGGCCTGTGTCTGCATTTTTGAACCAGAAGGTGTTTATACAAAACATCCTGGGTTTGGCGACAAATTCACCCTCAGTGAGGAATTCTTAATGAATCTCCCTCCTTCCCCACACCAGGTGGCTGAAGGAAAAATTAGCTCTGCCTCTGGTAGTTGAAGGCAGCCAAAGGCTAGGCAACACAGAGGTGCTGCTGGGGCTTCTGGGGCCACAATTTTTGGGGAGGGTTTTTTCAGGGTCCAGAAATGGCATGGCCACCAGGCACTCCTGGCTTGCTGTGTGATGAGGCACTGTCTTTCTCATGGCCTCAGTCTGCAGCTGTGAAATGGGGCAGTAATAATCCCATCCATACAAAGGTTGCTTTGACACTCAAGTAAGGCAAGGGGTGTGAAGGGTTACAAGAGGTCAAAAGGAGAGAAGAAGAAGCTGGAGTCAGAGAGGCAAAAGATCAGAGTGATAATACCAGTTCTGCTCTTCAGACTTTCAAAGTCCTTTCCCAGCACCTTTTACAGCCCTGTGGGCTCAATGCCTCCTTCCCCTCTGACCTCCTGCCTGCTTCCCCCTGCCCATTCTGTTCCACATACACTGGCTGTTCCCTCTGCCTGGAACACTCTTCTCCTAGAGTGTTCTCTAGAACCATGGCTCTAGGAGAGCCATCCACATGGCTCACCCCTCACCTTCTTTTCAAAGCCTTACCTCTCTCTGAGTTCTGTTTTTTTTCCAGCTATCCAATGAGGAGTTTGGGCATGAAGACCTCGTGGGAACTCTCTGGTTCTGATGGTAACCATTTTCCATCTTCCTGCCTCCTCTGGGAAGTCCTACCAATCCTACAACCCACACCTGTTTGCTTTTCTGAGCTACCATTTCATTGCTTACTGCCCATAGTTTTCAAGTCTGTTCCTTATGTATAGGCCAGTTACTTTGGGCATTGGGTCCAACACAGGGGCTCAAGTGAACTCTGGTTAAATGGAATTAAAAGTGATAAAGTGATTACTGCTGGAGTGCAGTGGTGCCATCAGAGCTCACTGCAGCCTCCACTCCCCAGGTGCAGGTGCTCCTCCCACCTCAGCCTCCTGAGTAGCTGGGACCAACAGGCGCGCCCCACCGCACCCAGCTAATTTTTTTTTATTTTATTTTTTATTTTTAGTGGAAACGGAGGTTTTACTGTGCTGGCCAAGCTGGTCTCTAACTCCTGGGCTCAAGTGATCCCCCCGGGCTTTGGCCTTCCAAAGTGGGATGACAGGCATGAGCCACTGCGCCCAGCCGATTCCTACTTCCTTCCGATTCTGTGGAGAGACACTGAGGCGGATTTTTATTCATCCCCTTTGTATAAATTAGAAACTGAAAGTGTCAGAGATTAAACATAAGTCACACTGCCACATGGGCCTTCTTGGGGTTTCTTAGCCAGGGGAAGAATCATATTTCCCAGGTCCTGATCACTACCTGCCATTAATTGTCGGTGTTTCCCACTGGAATGAAGTTCCATGAAGGCAAGGATTTTGTTGTGTTCACTGCTGCATCCTAAGCACCTAAAACTGGTTGGCACATAGTAAGCGCTCAAGAAGTATGAACCGAGGGGGTCAGAGACAACCCACTGACTGAACTCTCTGAGCCTGCAGAGGGCGCTCCAGCCCCGCCCCCAAAGCTAGGCCCCGCCTCTCGCAGCCGGCTGGCGCACGAGCGTTGGAGCCTGCGCACCACCGTTCTTTTAACTGCGCAGGCGCGCCGGAAGCCCCTTGAGAGCGGCGCATGCGCAGCGGGAGTCGAAACGGAGACCCCCGGGGTCGCACGACAGCCGCAGGAGGAGTTGGTGGGCGGTATGCTATCGCCCGAGGCGGAGCGAGTGCTGCGGTACCTGGTAGAGGTGGAGGAGCTCGCCGAGGAGGTGCTGGCGGACAAGCGGCAGGTGAGAGGCCCGTCCGCGGCGCTGGGGCCTGGCGGCCGGCGCCGTCGGAAAGCCCGCGGGGTCGCGGAGAGTTGACCCGGACAGGCGGTTAACGGCTCCGAGGCGACAGACGTGGGCCAATAAATATTCGGCCGCTACTAAGCGAGCGCTTGCGCTGTGCTGGTCATTCCTCGCTCTTCATCTTTTCTCTGCCCCTTGCCATGCTCTCTGGATCTCGACCCATCATGCTCTGGGCGGTTTCCTGAGCACCTGTTTCAAAATGCACTTCCCGGCCCCATGGTTGATCTGGGGGCACCGCCCTGTAAAGGCCCTCGGGGAGAGCTAGAACCGAAAAGAGGCCTGAGGGGGCCTTGTGACCGGGAGGGGGTGGGGACCTGGGGGAAGGTGGCGCCCTGTTTATGGGGTGCCTTGTAGGGGGTTTGGGTCAGGCTCTAATTTAAGTGCCAAGCTTTAGAAGGGAGTTCCTTGGGGAAGGAGGGTGACGTAATTGGATTTAGGTTTTAAAAGGATCCCCCGGCTGCTGTGTGGAATACAGAATATAGGCGGGCAAGGCTGAAGGCAGGGAGACGGGTGAGGGGCCATTGCTGTGGTTCAGACCAGAGATGGATTTGGACTAGGTAGTGGTGGTGGAGAGAAGTGAAGGGGTCAGAAATGTATTTTGGAGACAGACTCAGTAGGCCGTGATAGTGGCTGTGTAAATGGGTGAGGGAGCCACGGGAGTCGTGACTCCCTCTCATCTCCAGTTAGAAGGGTCAAGTATTTACTGAGAAGGGGAAAACTTGGGCAAGAATCTGTCAAATTAAATACTGGATCAGGGTGCTGGATGAGAATAATAAGAGCAGTTAAAGTTTATCAGCAGGCCTGGCGTGGTGGCTCACGCCTGTAATCCCAGCACTTTGAAAGGCCGAGACGGGCGGATCACGAAGTCAGGAGATCAGGACCATCCTGGCTAACACGGTGAAACCTTGTCTCTACTAACAATACAAAAAATTAGCCGGACGTGGTGGCGGGCGCCTGTAGTCCCAGCTACCCGGGAGGCTGAGACAGGAGAATGGCATGAACCCGGGAGGCGGAGCTTGCAGTGAGCCGAGATTGCGCCACTGCACTCCAGCCTGGACAAAAGAGCGAGACTCCGTCTCAAAAAAAATTTTTAAAAGTAAAAATAAATAAATAAATAAAGTTTATCAGCTACTTACTATGTGCCAGGTACTGTGTTAAGTCATTTAATTGCTGGCTCAATAACCTGTGAGGTAGGTACTGTTTGTAGCTCCATTTTGAGGAGGAGTAAATAGGAAGGTGAAATTACACAGCTTGAGGCAGACAGCAGGATTCGAACTTGGGTATTCCAGCTCCAGAACCAGCACTCTCGTGCAGTATACTGTACTACTGCTTCACTTCCTTAGTAGCTATTGTGTTGTTACCACTGTCTCAGTGCCCCCAATCCTGCTGTTCCAATCTAGTACTGTTGGGTTTCTCATATTACTAGTTCAGAATCAGCTGGAGAAGTTTGTCCAAAAATAAACATTAGGCCTCCTTAATCACAGTGTGTAGGGGAAGGGTTTCCACTCCCCTGGTGATTCTGATATGCCCTAAAGTTCCAGTGGATAATGCAGAATTTCCCGTTTAGTCAGCACATGTTTTCCCAGCATCTTCTCTGGGCAGAGGGCAGCTGCACACAGCATTGTCTTTCAGACCAGGAAGCTGAGTGAGAGAAGAAATACATTCACACATCAATCCATTTTAGGCAGGACATTGGATGTAACCAGGAATAATTCATTGTCTCTGCAGCTGTTGTCTGTCAAGAGGTGACAGCTTGGGGCAAGAGATAGCTGAGTTCCCTCCTGTCCCTGTGGTTTTCAGATTGTGGACCTGGACACTAAAAGGAATCAGAATCGAGAGGGCCTGAGGGCCCTGCAGAAGGATCTCAGCCTCTCTGGTAAGTTGAAATTTTCTCAGTGCAGCCCTGGAGGCCTGTTCCATTTTCCTTTAAGGCCTTTACCTTGTCCCTGATAGAGATCAGGCAGGAGGTCACAGCTGTATAACTCAGCCTTGTGGGAAATTGAAACAGTCTGAGGAGATGGGGGAGCAAGTTTTGCAGTTCTGGCACAGACTGTGGTTCAGGATTTTGCCTGCTCACTTCAGTGACTGGTTGTTAGCTCCTGGCTTAGCAACAATGGCAGACACTGAGAGAGTGTTGGGGATGTATGAAACTGATGGTTCCTGCCCTTGTGCTTTACAGATGAGGAAAACAACGTAAAATGTGTAATTGAAAGTTGTAAGAAAGCCAAAGATGGAATTGGACTTGGGGTGGGTGTTGAGAATATATATCTGGAAGAATGGGAACCCTTTAGATGAGGCCGAGTGGCTGTGGCAGAGGAAGCAGATGGAGAGTAAGTATGGCTGGAGAGAGGCGCAGAGACCAGGCCATAATGAAAGGTCTTGGGGGATAAGGGAGGAAGTTTACATTTTGTTGAAAGTGCACTAGAATGTGGAGAATCTTCCAGTTGCTTCTCATCTCATCTGAGTAAAATCCAGAGGTCCTGCAAGACTGAGTAATCCAGCCCCCGTGAATCCATGAGTGTGCCAATATCATCTCTGCCCCCGCCCCGCCCCCCATGACTCCATCCACACTGGTCTCCTTGCTGTTACTTTATTTATGTATATGGAAACAGAGCCTTGCTGTGTCACCCAGGCTGGAGTGCAGTGGCGTGATCTCGGCTCACTGCAACCTCTGTCTCCCAGGTTCAAGTGATTCTCGTGCCTCAGCCTCCTGAGTAGCTGAGATTACAGGCATGCACCACCACACCCAGCTAATTTTTGTATTTTTAATAGATACAGGGTTTCGCCATGTTGGCCAGGCCGGTCTCGAGCTCCTGGCCTCAAGTGATCCACCTGCCTTGGCCTCCTAAAGTGCTGGGATTACAGGCGTGAGCCACTGCGCCTGGTCCCTTGCTGTTCTGAACACCCCAAGCACACTACGGATCTTTGCTGTTCCTGTTTCCTCTGTTTGGCTCACTCTTTCCCCAGATGTCTGCAGTGCTCCCACTCTCACTTTCCTTGGGTCTCTATGTAGATATCGTATAATCAGTAAGGCCTTCTCGGTCTACCTGGTATGAGTAACAAGGTCCTCCTCTGGCATTGCCTAGCCATCTTAGCCTGCTTTATTTTTCTCTACAACTTTTAATCAAGGTGTGAAAAATCCTATCTTTGTTTATTCTCTCTCTTCCACTATAACATAAGCTCCAAGAGGGCAGGAACTTTGTCTTGTTCTGCTGTGTTGTATCTAAAATAATGCCTGGCAGATAATAGGTACTCAAAAAAAAAAATTGTTGAAGGAATTACCATTTGCTCTTTCAGAAGATGTGATGGTTTGCTTTGGGAACATGTTTATCAAGATGCCTCACCCTGAGACAAAGGAAATGATTGAAAAAGGTAAGGCCTCCTGGGGATGGGTCAGGGATGTGCTGCCTCTTCCACCAGCTTTGGTCTTAACCTAGAACAGGGAGTCAGGCTTCAGGCAGCTGGAGGAGAGGCAGCTCTGTCACAGGGTTCAGACTGCTGTGGGTTTCAATTCCACCTCTGCCACTGTGGGTTATTTCCTCGTTTCTAAGAGGGGAATGTGTCTATGTAGCACAGCTGTGAAGTTGAGGTAAAACACTATGTGTGCCTAGCATAGTGCTTTCTTACTAGTGAGGAATCAGTTGGGCTGCAACTAACAAAACCAAACAAATTGAGGCTTAAGGAAATATGCTTCTTTTACTCTTGCATAAGAAATTGTCCAGAGGTGTGTAGTCCAGGCCTGGCATAGCTGCCCAGCAGTGGCACCTTAGCATATTCTCCTGGTTGTTGTTTCATCATTGCAGGCCTCATGTCCTCATGTCCTCATGCCAGGCTGGAGGAAAGACAGAAGGCTTTTGCCACATAGAGCTTTGCCTTCTATTTTGGAAGTGAGGCCATCTCCTCAGGGACTTCCTGCCAACATCTCATTGGCCAGACTAAGTCACATGGTTACCCATAGCTGCAAGAGAGCCCGGGAGAGTGAGCTTTTCTTTTTCACATGCCCTGCAATAGAGACTGGGTTGAATATGGAGGTTTGGGGAGAGTAAACATCTAGGGTCTGCCATAGCTTGGGCACTCAGCGTACTCAGTTTCCACAGCCATAATCTGGAAGCTCTTTGGAAAAGCATCTTAAAGCAAGTCAGGCTACAAATGGATTATTGGCTAGAAAAAGAACAGGCTACACATATTTTTTCTTCCATAACCTTGAAAATGGCCAAAAGGACAAGCCAGGTTGACTCAGTCCCTGAAGATAGGGTGTCTTCACACCTCATGAAATAAAACTACTTTTTTTTTTTTTTTCCTTGAGACAGAGTCTTGCTCTGTCACCCAGGCTGGAGTGCAATGGCGCTATCTCGGCTCACTGCAACATTGCCGCCCAGGTTCAAGCAATTCTCCTGCCTCAGCTTCCTGATTAGCTAGAATTATAGGTGCATGCCATCATGCCTGGCTAATATTTGTGTTGTTTTAGTAAAGACACACATAGTGTGTTTTAGTAAAAGACACACTATGTTGGCCAGGCTGGTCTTGGAACTCCTGACCTCAGGTGATCCACCCGCCTCGGCCTCCCGAAGTGCTGGGATTACAGGCATGAGCCACTGCTCCCGGCCAATTACATAAAACTACTAACAGAGAAAGCTATATCCAGCATGGAGAAGTTTCCAGCTGTTGTGTTGAAAAAATACAGTAATAATATGGTTATAAAATTAAACTGCACTTGGTGGTGGGCTGTAGACTAAGCTTTCAGAGGGGTCCCTTGCCTGGGTTGAGGATCTTGTTGGCTCTTTTGGTCCCCAAATGTGGTCTTGTCACCGTACCTAGAGGGGTTCTGAGACATCATCAGGTTTCTTGGGGATCAACACAGGCTAAACAAGCTTATGGACACTGGGGTTACTCATTCACAATGAGAAATAGAACCAGGCTATAAGACTTAGCCATTCAGGGTTTCTCCCCGTCAGAAAGAGTGAGTCTGTGGGGAGACAGACTAGCCAGAATGTCACTCGTGAGCAGGTAGAATTGGCTGGGTGACTTCAGTTGATTAGTCAATGAGGCTTTGATAGCCACCTCTGTCATCACACTGACTTTTCTCAGGGGCAGTCCAGGACACTAGGAGACCCTTTTCTGTTCACAGTGGCTAATTAAGTTAAGCCTGAGCATTAGGCTTTCGTGTTGATTGTTTACGTCACATGTTCACACAATCATATTTTTCTAAACCCCCCCCCACCTTGATGGACTCGGGTTTGTAAAATTTCTTAGGCATCCATTTTCTAGCCATCTAGGGTGGGCTGAATCTAGAGATGCTTCTTTGTTTGTGCATTGGAGTTTTCCATAATTTCATTGTGGGAGGGCGGCCTAAAGTCCTGATGTTGCCTTTTCTGTCCACTGACCACCTCAAGGTACTTTGCATAATGCAAAAAAGGCCAGTGTAATGGAAGTCGGGACTGCTGTGTCCTGGGCTCTCTGAGTGGTCCTGAGCAGGTCATGTCCCTTCTAGCCTTGAATCATTCCTCAGTTGGCCTCTGATGTCTCCTTTTCCTTCCTGAAAGCTACACGCCCTTGCTGGGGAGAGGCTGGCATCTCCACTCCTGGGGTCAAGTCTGTCTGGTACAATCTCATCCTCTGCTTGCCCCCCTCATTTTTTCAGATCAGGATCATCTGGATAAAGAAATAGAAAAACTCCGGAAGCAACTTAAAGTGAAGGTCAACCGCCTTTTTGAGGCCCAAGGTATTGGCCTAGCAGGGACTGGAGACGAGGAGGGGAGAGAATCATCAGCATGGACTTTGAAGGGCAGGGGTGGGAACCCCAACCCTCAGAGGTGGGCAGTGGCCGGGGCAGCCTGTGAGTGGCCCTGGAGGTGTGCACAGTGGTTGGTTGTAGCTGCCCAGGGACAGAATGGACGGGAATTTATAGAGTCCTAGTCCTGTCACAGCTTCTTTTCCAGGTCCCAGGAACCGCTTGGGGCGATCTCACGTTATACATCAGGGCATGGCATGGGGATCAGATAGCTCCGACTGAGGAAACTCAGAAGGCTTCAGTGAGTGATTGAGGTCAGAGCTGAAATTCTTGATAAACACAAGCACTCTAGATTGGGCACAGGTCTTGGAAAAACCTGAGACAGCAGAGTCATGACTTTGTAGGTTCTTGGTGACACAGGAGTGGTGGTGATGCCTCATCTGGTGCATTGCAGAATTGGAGGCCCATCCCTGCCAGACCTCCAGGCCAAGTTTGGCAGCATTAGTGCAGCGTCAGCCCCTTTCCTGGGCCTGGTTCCAGAGCCAGCAGGAGGCCTGACATGCTGATGGATCATCTTCTCTCCTAGGCAAACCGGAGCTGAAGGGTTTTAACTTGAACCCCCTCAACCAGGATGAGCTTAAAGCTCTCAAGGTCATCTTAAAAGGATGAGACTCAAGAACCAAGATGGGGGACCAGCAACCCCCCAGGGTCATGGAGGACCCAGAACCCTCCAACCTTGACATCTGTAAGAACAGGATCTGCCCTGTAAGGGGACAGGCGTCAGGAATCTGGCCATGAAAACCTCTTTGTCTGTAGTGCTTGGCTACTCTGTGATGGCAGGAGGGAACCTTCAGCCTATCTGGCTGCTGGACCTGGACACCAGGGCTCAGTGGACACAAGATCTATTGATGGGTCCTGGTAGCCATCAGTGGGTGTGTGGGGCAGTGGCTGTGGGGGTGTAAGAATGACTGCAACAGGCACTTCCCAACAATGGCCTGCTGTTCACATGGACCCTGAGCAAGGAGGGAGGGAGGGAGGGGCAGAGTGGAGTTTCATTCCAGCATTCCTCTCAGAAGGGAGAGAGGTTTTCAGGCAGGTGCCATGGGATTGGAATAAACCAGGAGGCTCATGGGTGGTTGCTGAATGAAGAACAGAATCTTGGTGCTTTGTGGCTCACCACAGCCATCTGTGGGGCAGGCACACACACCTCCCTGCCAGCTCCATTTTTGCGCTTTTTCCCTGCTTGATTCCAAGAGTGGGTGCTGCCTAGCAGCCCTTTGTGGCCGCTCTTTACTCAGGAGGGCCTTGCAGAGTCCTGCACCAGGCCTGGGTGAGTGGGTGCACCTCTTACCATATATGACATGTGTCAAGAGTGCCCTTCCGCCCCTTCTGAAAGTGGGGCCTGGCCAGCACTGCTCGTTACTGTCTGCCTTCAGTGGTCTGAGGTCCCATTATGAACTGTCATGAAGTCAAAACTCTTGTGTTCATTAAGGGCTCAATAAACGTTAGCTGAATGAATGAATAGCAGCAACTAGTCTTTATTTACCTCATCTAGTCCTTCAGTGAGGGCACGCTGCTCCATTTAGAATACCACCTATGAACATGGTTCTTGCCTTGAAATGAACCTGTGATAGGCAGGTGACAACAAATGGCAGCATGGCAGGGGCACACCTCTCCTGGTCCCCCTGCTTCTTGGCTCTGGCTCATAGTTACATAGAAACACAGGCTGTCATGGCCAGTTCTTAACATTTTTTTCTTTTTTTTTGGAAGGAGTCTCACTCTGTCGCCCAGGCTGGAGTGCAGTGGCCGGATCTCAGCTCACTGCAAGCTCCGCCTCCCGGGTTCACGTCATTCTCCTGCCTCAGCCTCCCGAGTAGCTGGGACTACAGGCGTCCGCCACCTCGCCCGGCTAGTTTTTTGTATTTTTTAGTAGAGACGGGGTTTCACCGTGTTAGCCAGGATGGTCTCGATCTCCTGACCTCGTGATCCACCCGTCTCGGCCTCCCAAAGTGCTGGGATTACAGGCTTGAGCCACTGTGCCCGGCAACGTTTTTTCAAGAGAAGCTAGACATTTGGGTTGTGAAGTTGAATCTCCTGTCTTTTAAATATTTTTGACTAATGCAGAAACTGTTTTAAAACGTGAGTGTGGGTCACAGGTGTTTTACCCTACCCAAGCCAAACTTGGCCCAGACCTACAGTTTTGAATCCTCTTGAGTTTTGCAGAAATTACTATGTGTTTTCCCTGTGATCTCTTAAGAAGTAGGCAGGTGGAATTGGAAACAAACTGTCCATCCACAGGGGACTAGTTAAAGGAATCAGTAGCTCCAGATAGTGCAATACCATACAACTATAATCAAGAAATAAGGAACAAGCTCCAAGATACATCAAGTGGGAAAAGCAAGGGGAAGGCAGGTGTCTTATAAGCTAATAATGTGTGTGTGCAAATACAATGTCATTCCCTCAAAACAGCACCTGCAGGGTTGGGGCACAGAGGTGGGAGGGAAGGAGATGTCACCCTATACCCATTGGTAAACTTTGGATTTTAAACCACATGAATATATTACTTATTTTTAAATGTAAATAAAGTAGGGAGTTGCAGAATTCACCTTGCTAGATGTTCTCCAGTATGACTGCCTGATTCACAATTTCACCATTGGAAAATTGCCCCTTCCTCCCTTGCAGGGTGGGTGCTGGGCCAAAAAGAGCCAATCGCATTCCTTCTGGAAATAGGGAACCTGGAGCCCATGCCTGGACCTGTCTGTGTTTGCCTCAGTCACAAGGATGAATGGGAGAAGTCCTCATGCTCTGAAGGCAGAAGGTCCAGAGTAGCTTGGCTTCTGGCTTTCCTAAAGTCAGCGGGTTCACTTCTTGGATTTGCCAGTATTTTCCTTCCAAAAGTCTTCCCTTTGGGCTTAACCTAGGCAGTCAGATTCCACCATTTGCAGCCAGAGAAAGTACTCTGAAGCAGGCGGAGTGGTAGAGGGAGTAAATCCCCCCTGGAGCAGTTACCCCAACAGCCCCGACTCTTGTTGCAACCCCTCTTAAACCAAGAGGAGGCTTAGGAATGTAAGATGTGAAAATGCAGAGATTTTTACTCACACTCAACTCCCCAAGCTGTCCTGCCCATGAGCCCAAGGTTTTCTGGTTTCTGGCTCAGCTCCGAAGCTCAAACACAGGGCCTAGAGAAGCACTTAAGTCACCCATCTGACTTAGATCAATGCACCTTTGCAGAGACCCTCACTAAGCTCTGCCTCCCTGGTCTGTCTGGTCCATCTGAGAAGTGGGGATGCTCTGTCCCACTGGTCTTCAGATGATGGTCAGGGAGCCCCATGGGTTCCTGATATGCAGGGTCAGGGTATTACAAGGAGAAGAGGATGTGTTTAGGGCTCAGTACTTCCCCAGACCCCCAATAAATACAATCTAATAACGGCTTGCTTTGTAAGCACAGCTTAAAGACAAGTTCCTTAGCCTCCAAACCCTTGCTCCTGAAGGACCTTTTCAGCACTGACTTGGGAGGCATCCAAGTGTCAAAGCCAGGAGGACTTGGCTGCAGCCAACAGTATCCCCTGAACCAGGCCTGGTGCCCAGTGACTCCAAGTAGGGCCTGTGCTCATTTATTAGATATGATCTCTTGGGGGTAGCAGAACTTGCTGTATTTGTTCTCTTTGGGCCTAATTGCCAAGTCAGTTTGTCAAGGTTAAAACACCCCCCAGTCCTAGGGATTGGCGTCTCCTGGTGCAAAGATGCCTGGGGATGGGCTGGAGGTATCCAAGCGGCCCAATTCAGGTAGTAAGCTGCAGCTGCTAAGCCAGCAAAGCTGGTGCCAGGGTGGAGGTGGGGAGGTGAGAGCTTTGAGGTGCTGTGCTGGGATCTGAGAGTGCGGGGGAGGCCTGGGTGGCACCTGCTAAGGCTGATTTCCTCCTGGCAGCTGGGGATCAACTGGAAGCTTTCTTCTGGACTTGAAGGGAGTAGAAGAGCTGCCTCAGTTGTTTTTTCCGATCGTTGACGCATCCTGGAAAGGAAGTGGGGTGTTGGCTGGGATGACCTGTGCTTGGGAGGAGTGGAGGGGCCTGTGCCCCCACTCCCTGCTGGGAAGAGGGGACAGTGGGAGTCAGACAACCACACACAGCCTGTGGTTTACATCCTGGCTCCATTCCTGAACTGCCATGGCCCTCAAGCAGGTCATTTACCCTTTCCAGCATCGGTCTTCTCATCTGTAAACCAGGATACTACTGCCCACCTTAGGGAGTGAACATGAGGATTGGGAGCTTCCCTCAAGCCAGGGACTGTTCCAGATGCTGAATGTGGATGGATTTGTTTGGCCTTCACGGGGATGATGTGTAGAAGCGAAAACGGGCTCAGAGAGGTTAAATCATTTGAACCCAGACTACCTGGTGCCAGAGCTACACTCTTAACCACTACCCCACACTGCCGCTCCTCCTGGCTTTGCTCAGTGAAAATGCATTTAAAGCTAGCACAGTGCCTGGCTTCTCATAGCTGCCCAGTACTGTCAGCTTTCTTCCCTTACCCAACCCATGTGTCAGGCACAACTGGCTAAGGGATGAGTTTTCCATACATGTGGCCCCCAGTCCCAGGCAGTTCGTGCTTTTAAATATTTCTGCCATGAGCGCTGAGACGTCTCTCCCAGGACGTTCATGGTGCTACATGTTGGCTATTTGCTCTCAGAGCTGATCCTTGGGGTAACTGTCTGGTCATTTAATCTCATGCCAGGCATATTGATGGCACTCAAAAATGCTGCTTGAGTGACTGAATCTCTCTGGCCACTAGTACTGACCTGGGAGTGTCTGCCATCTTCCACATCCCCCCAAACCCTGTCTGTCCCTGCTTCCTAGGCACTCACTTAGCCATTCCCTGAGCTGAGAGCCTACTATGCACATCCTCAGGGTTTTCCAGAGTGAGTTCCATGCAGCCCTAACTTAAACTCTATTTGGCTCATTCATAACTCGCAAGTCTTCTTGTCCAGTGCAAACTTCTTGGAGTTCTAGACTCATCTCTGAGTTATCTGCTGACCCTTTCACCTGGATGTCCCTGAACACTTCCCTAACACAATTCATCAGTACTCTTCCTACCCTAACCAGCTACCCTTGTGTTTACCACCATCAACCCAAACACTTGAAACAGGAATAATTCTAGAGACTTCTAAAGCACTGGCTCTCCCAGCCTGGTCAACATAGTGAGATTTTGTCTCTACAGGAAAAAAACACACACACAAAAATAAAATTAGCCAGGTGTGATGGGGTGTGCCTGTAGGCCTAGCTACTTGGGAGGCTGAGGCAGGAAGACTGCTTGAGCCTGGGAGTTTGAGGTTAGTTACAGTGAGCTATGATCGCACCACTGCACTCCAGCCTGGGTGACAGAGCGAGACTCTGTCTCAAAAAAAAAATTAAAAATTAAAACAGTGGCTCGCAACTTGGGCTGCATATTGGAATCACTTGAGAGCTTTAAAAGCTACTGATGCCCACACCAACCATATCTTGATCTGGCAGACATCAGTAGTCTTTAAAGCTCCCAGGCGATTCCAATGGGCAGCCAAGGTAGAGAACCGCCACTTTCCATCTTTGCTACTCAAATGGGGGTCCAGGAACTAGCGCATTGATATCTGAGGTACACTGTTAGCAAAAATGGCTGCAACAATTCCATTCCTATATGCACACCTCTGTGCAAGGTGACTGCTGCTCCTCTCATCAAGAGGTGGGGTCTATTTTCTTTTTTTTCTTTTTTTTTTTTTTTTTTCTTTTTTTGAGACAGAGCCTCGCTGTGTCGCCCAGGCTGGAGTGCAGTGGCGCGATCTCGGCTCACTGCAAGCTCTGCCTCCTGGGTTCACGTCATTCTCCTGCTCAGCCTCCCGAGTAGCTGAGACTACAGGCACCCGCCACCATGCCCGGCTAATTTTTTTTGTATTTTTTAGTAGAGACGGGGTTTCACTGTGTTAGCCAGGATGGTTTCGATCTCCTGACCTCATGATATGCCCGCCTCGGCCTCCCAAAGTGTTGGGATTACAGGCATGAGCCACTGCGCCCGGCAAGGTGGGGTCTCTTTTCTTACCCAGTGACTGGGTTAGACTAACACATGCTTTGATTGTAGCAGAATGACTTTATGGGACTTCTGAGTCTGGGCCACAAAAGCCTTTGCAGTGTCTTTCCTCACCCTCTTGGAACCCTGAGTCTACCACATGAAGAAGCCAGGGCCAGACTATTGGAAGACGAGTGGCCACATGGAAAGAGAGGCCCAACTGACAGCCAGTATCAACCCCCACACCTATGAATGAGGCTGTCGTAGCTATCAAGCCTCAGTAAATCTGCCAGGTGCCTGCAGCCCTATGAGTGACCCCAGGAGGGACCTGAGGAAGCATGAGCAAATAAAACAGTTGCTTTAAGCTGCTAGGTTTTGGGAGGGCTTGTTATACAGCAATGGTTAATCCATGCAGGAGCTTGTTAGAAATACAATCTTAGGCCCCACGCTAGACCTATGGAGTCACAATCTACAGTTTAACAAGATTTCCAGGTGATTATATGCGTATTAAATTAAGCTTGGACAGGGTTATATAGTCATCCGAAGCCTTATACATTTAGAAAACTAAACAACCCCTAGAAAAATGGATAAAGAGTATAGACAGCTTACAAAAGAAGAAGTGCAAATTTACAAAACGGAAACCTCACCAGTAATCAATGGAACGCACATAAAACAACGAGTCAGTGTGTTTTACCTCGCCAGTTGGCACAGATTTTTTTTTTTTCCTAAAAATTCAAATCTGGCAAATTCGTATAATCTTTCTGGAAAGCAATTTGGTTGTAATAATCCCATCCCTTTGGCCCAATAATTCTGCTTCTAGGAATCTGTCCTCAGGAAATGGCCAGAATTTCAGCCGAGCTTAATGTGAAAGGGTGTTCATCAGGGTATTATTTATAAAAGTTAAAAAATATAAAACGCAATTGTGCCAAATGTCCAATTATAAGAAATTGGTTTAGTAAATGTCGGCATATGTACAAACTGAAATATTTTGCAGCCATACGGTAATTTTTTTAAACTGTGCCAAGAGGCAGGAAAGTCTAACGGTCAAGCACTCAGGTTTTGGAGCCAGGCAGATGGGAGTTTGAGTCCTGGCTCACCACTTATGACCAAAACCTTCATTCAGCAAGTTACATAGCACCTGGATATCATTTCCTCATCTGTAAAATGACAATAAAAACTGCTTAAAGATTAAATGAGATAATGTATGTAAAAGATTTCATCCAGACTGGACCAAAAAGTACATTCAAGAGGGAGGCTCTTAATATACTTGAATGGAAAATGCCATGGGGAAAAGTGGGATTCGAAACTCTAGCCCAATGCCAATTTTGTAAAAGAAAAAGTATGAATATATGCATTTTTTAAGAACTGGAAGGAAATACACCAGATTGTTAAAGATGGTTATGTCTGGATGTTTTTTTATTTCTTTCTTTAGTTTTCAAATATTCTACAATGAGTGTGAATCCTTTTTTTATAATCAGGGGAAGTTTTCACTTTTTAGAAACCAAATTTAAAAATGAGGAACAGAGGTTAAGTCCCTTGCCCAAGGTCACACAGCTGGTAAGTTGCAGATTGAATTCAAACAATCTAACCACTATCCCAACCTGCCTCCTAGACTACCTGGTACCTCCCATGACCCATCCCTTGTGCCCACTCCACCTGGCCCTACATACCAAGGTGTGTGTTGGTCACAAAGTTTCCCATTCCCGACAGGTCAGGAACCCCCTCCTCTCTGCTAACAGGGCCATCATTCCACATGAGGTCAAAGCCCCCGACTCGCTTCTCCCTTCCCGTGAGCCTGGACAGGAAGGAGCACACAGGGTTAATGAAGGTGCACCTGGCGGGGCCCTAACACCCAAGTGAGGTCCCTGATCCCTCCCTGAGCCCGACTGATGTCCGTCTCTCAGAAGTCCTTTTTTCCCAACCATTCATTGACTGTTTCCCAGGTACCTATGCAGGTCTCTGAGGGGTTGTTCCCCAGTTTTCCCCCAAGGCTCCTTGCTCTTGATAACGTGCCCCTATTTGTTTTTGTTTTTGTTTTTGTTTTTGTTTTGAGACGGAGTCTCTGTCACCCAGGCTGGAGTGCAATGGCACGATCTTGGCTCACTGCAACTTCTGCCTCCAGGTTCAAGCGATTCTTCTGACTCAGCCTTCCGAGTAGCTGGGACTACAGGTGCACACCACCACCCCCGGTTAATTTTTGTATTTTTAGTAGACATGGGGTTTCACCGTGTCGGCCAGGATGGTCTCAAACTCCTGACCTCAAATGATCTGCCCGCCTCGGCCTCCCAAAGTGCTGGGATTACAGGCGTGAGCCACCACGCCTGGCCACGTGCCTCTATTTGTGATTTGTGGTTTAAAGTCTCCTTTCCTCCTTAGACCTTAAACTCCATAAAGGCAGGGACTAGTTCTGTCGTGTTCCTTACTGTGTCCGCAGGATATGGCACAGGGCCTGGTACAGAGCAGGGCTCAAAAGTTTGTTGAATGAATAGGTGATGGTAGGAATAGTGGATACCTGAGGTTTCTGCCTGCTCAGCATCCATTTCACCTTCTTTCAGTCCAAGAATACCTTGGGTTTTCCTTTGATAACCACTTCTCCCTCCCTCATCCCATGGCTCACGTGGGGTTGACCCCACTCCCGAGGAGGTAGGCACAAGAACTATGCTTGGCCAAGCAGAGTCACAATGAGTGGTTTAGGAATGGTCATGTGTCCCAGTTCCCAGCAAGGAGAATCAATCCTCAAACTTCTGCTGGAATAATTGGGGAAAAGCTAATACAGAGGAAAGAGAGGGAGGGGGAGGGGGAGGGGGAACAGACTAGCCAACATTGAGCACCTGGATTCACACATTCACCTATTCCTAAAAGTAGCTCTGGGTTTTTTTTTCTGCCATTGCACATTGTTATAGCAATAGCTTTGTACTCAGCACTTACTGTTAGCTAGGCACTAGATAGTAAATTATCGTTGTAAATTAATCTAACAACTCTGAGAGGTAGACATGGCATTTCCTATTTTGCAGATGAGGAAGCTGAGGCTCAGAAAGGTGATGTGACTAGTCCAAAGCCTCACAGTCAGAAGGTTTCGAGGAAATCCTGCTGGACTGTCTCAGAAAGCTGTAGTTGGCCCTGCTCTGTCCTGGAGAGGTCAAGTCCTTGGGTCAGGACCCTACCCTCTGTGGACATCTCAGCTTCTCCATCTACAAAGTGGTAGGGCAGGCCAAAGCCGTCACTGAGGGCCACTCGGGCCCCAAGGTTCTAAGCTTCCCCTCTTCCTTGGTGGGAGCCTCAGTTGTCATGTACAAGGACATGTGATCAAGGCTGCCCTCCCTCACCTTGCTTCCATGTCCACGACATGCAGGGTGTCTTCCAGGAGGCAGGTCTTGAGCTCATAGTCTTCCTGGCTGCTGGCTGTCAGTGACGGGGACGCATTGACCTCCAGGAGCCACCTGGGGAGGAAGGGGAGTAGAGAGTCTTAGGGTTACTCGGTCCCTGGAGCCCCTAGGATTTCACTGAGAGGCTAGATGGATGCATGGACCCCACCCTTAATTCAATCCAGGCTACTCCCTCTACCTTTCTATTTTTTTAAATTATTTTTATAGAGATAGGGTCTTGCTAGGTTGCCCAGGCTAGTCTCAAACTCCTGGCCTCAAGTGATCCTCCTGCCTCAGCCTCCCAAAGTACTGGGATTACAGATAGGAGCCACTGTGCCCAGCTCCCTCCCACCCCCCTGCCTTTTTTTTTTTTTTTTTTCTAGAGAGGGAGTTTTGCTCTTGTCGCCCAGGCTGGAGTGCAATGGCATGATCTCAGCTCACTGCAACCTCTGCCTCCCAGGTTCAAGCGATTCTCCTGCCTCAGCCTCCAGAGTAGCTGGGATTACAGGTGCCACGCCCAGCTATTATTATTTTTTTTTTTTGTATTTTTAGTAGAGACAGGGTTTCACCATATTGGTCAAACTGGTCTCAAACTCCTGACCTCAGGTGATCCGCCCACTTCGGCCTCCCAAAGTGCTGGGATTACAGGCATGAGCCACCTTTCCACTTTGAAGAAAGGTAACTTAAATGTAGAAAGCTGGCATAGGCATGATTATGGTGCTTTCGTGGTGTTATTGTTTTCCCTTCTTCCAACAGAGATGTGAATGCAAGAAAAACTTCCCTTTCTTAGTGAAAATTTGCGCACTGTAGGTGGCACCCAACCTGCTGTGTCAGGGGTTGGGAAGCAGTGGGGAGAGGTGGAGACTGTGGTGAGCTGGAAAGGGCATTCCATGTCTAAAGGGGTGGCTGTGGCCAGCTCCAGGAGAGTGTTGCCTTGTGGGCATGTGAGTCCAGAATTGAGAGATCATCTGATTTTTCCAGAAAAGCCAAAAATTGTGAATTTTTTTTTTTTTTTTTTTTTAAGAGTCAGGATCTGGCTCTATCACTCAGGCTAGAGAGCAGTGGTGCAATCTTAGCTCTCTGCAGCCTTGAATTCCTGGCCTCAAGTCATCCTCCTGCCTCAGCCTCCTGAGTAGTTGGTATTATTATTATAGGTGCTTGAGCCACTGTACTTGGTAATTCTGATTTTTATGTAACCATCTTCCAAATTTTAGAGCCTGTCAATAAATTAAAATTAAAAACAAAAACAGTCTAAAGGCCAAATTCCAAGTATCTGCAGGCCAAAAGCAGCCCAAAGACCTCCCGCTAACCACCTCTTGTCTTGTTCAACCCCATCCTTTTACAGACAGGAAGCTGGAGCCCAGAGAGGGAAGGGCTCACCTGGCAGGTCTGTGGGAGACCAAGTCCCTTTCCACTATACAGCAAATTATCTTGGTAAATTACTCTAACAACTTGGAGAGGTAGACATGGTGTTTCCCATTTTACAAATGAGGAAACTGAGGCTCTGAGGGGTGACGTAGCCACCTGGGGTCCTATGCAGCCAGTCTTCTTGGACCTGCAGAATTTTTGCCCACACGGAGGGGCACAGCCGGAGTCATCCTAATCACAACACTCAGGGCTGGACCCCTCTTGTCCAGGCCTAAGGGCAGTGCCGAGGGCCATTGTTTAGGGGTCTCAGCAGGCCAGGTGGTGATTAACTGAGGGTCCCTCCCCCAACCTGACCACCCAGGCCCCAGGGCCGCAAGTGGATGCTCCAGTGCTTCCTGCAGTAGCTGGTGTCCAAGCACCGACCAGAGCTTATTCCTCCACCAGGTCCACCTTAACGCCAGCAGTCACATCCTGCTACAGGGGACAAAGGAGAGAGTCCTGCTGGTGCTGGGACCGTTTCCCTTGAGCGAGGGCTTCTCCTGGCTTAGAAAACCCCTCAACACTTACATGGTGACCCTGAATAGAGGGTTGGCTCCTGGATCTGGCAGTGCTGGTGAGGAGCAGCTCAGTCCAAGTCCTTAGACCCTGGGCCTGGCTTTGCCCTTGACTGGCTACATAACCTCAAGCTCCCCGACCCTCACTAGGCTTCTGTGTCCTGTTGCATCATGTGAGGCCATCATAGTGGTCCCTGCCAGGTCCGGTTTGTTCTATTCATCAGCTCAACCTCTTCCACCGGCATCTTGGGAGTGGATCAAAGTCTTGGCAAAGATCGACATTGTAACAATATTCCATTATATGGTGCTTTGCATCTTCAAAGCTCCAAGACTTACAGAGGGGAAGTTTCTTGCCTGGTATAGGGGAGAATTCCTGACTCAGCAGATGATCAGGAAAGGCCTCCCAGTGCCAGGCTTGGTCCTCGGTGCTCTACAGACTATATCTCACTTATTCCTCATAACGTTCCTATAATGACCTGTGGATAGATCCTGTCATGACCAACCTCATTTACAAATGGGCAAATTGAAGCACAGAAAACGTAAGTGTGCACAAGGTTATACAACTAGGAATTGGCAGAGCTGGGATTCAAACCTGGGCAGTCTGGGTATTCAAACTGTGACCTCCTGGCTCTCCCACCCACCCACTTACGGCTTGAGGTCCTGGTCGATGAGGATGTCGTAGCCGTACAGCTCGAAGCAGTGCTTGTCACTGATGATCACCTTCTGCACACTCTGCAGGCTTTTGACAAAGATGTTGTCGATGTCCCTGAAGAGCGTCTCCACCACCTCGGGCCCGTGTTTGGATGCCAGGTACTGCCGGAAGCGCTGCAGCATCCACTTGCAGCCCTGGGCCCCGGGCAGCCAGGTTGAGAGAGGAGCCTCAGTTAGTCAGGATCTGGCCTGGTAGGACCCTTACACAATTGCCTTCAGTGTTTCCCTTAGACCTGGGCAAGAGGGGCCCAGCCCTGAGCCCTGTAATTAGGATGACCCCAGGTGTGCCCCTCTTTCAGGGGAAAAAATTCTTCATGTCTAAGAGGACCGGCTATGCAGGATCCCAGAAGTCCCTACCCACACGGCCTGCGTAGGCCCCTTCCCTGAGCCTGACTTGCTGAGGACAGACCACACTGACCATGTGTGCATCCCAAGGCCAAGGAGTGACCAACAGGCTGCCGTTTTCAGGGGTGTGTATGCACAAGGGCCCCACTGTGTGGGATGGAGCCAGGGGAGGGAGAGAAGGGAACAGGTGTGAGCTGGGGACCTGCTCTCCTGTGTCCCCTTGGTCTGGCCCTTGACTTTGAGAAGTCTGAGAATTCTGTATTTGAACCTGGCCTTGCAGGTTATTTTACATAGATAGAGATAACATATATCTGTATGATACATTACATTAATCGATTAATCCATTGACCAATAGAAGATATCTGTCAAGGTAGGGGAATAGGACATTTTTTGTTTAGGGGTGTGTTAGTGTGATTACAACTTTTAAATACTTAGACACATGATATGTAGGCCTCCATTTGTAGTCCTGCCCTGAGCCCTGCAAGTGGGATGGGCAGGCCTGCCTCACTGGTGAACACAGGCTCAGACAGGCCTATCCTGGGCTCCTTGCCACTCCACCCTCCCTACCCCGACCCAGCCCTAGAGGGCTGCCCCCGTGCAGAGCCACGCCTGGCTTCCTCACCTTCTTTGGGTGGTAGTCGGGAGATGTTTTTTGCACAGCGACGTTGGTGAGGTGAACATCTGGGAAAGGGTGGTAGTCAAGGGTCGGTGTGAACAAAAAGGGCGAGCCCTGCCCCCCGAAGTCCCCAGGACTGAACTGAGACCTTGCTTGGGAATTGATGGGGAAGGCTACGAAATAGCTCCACAGTCGTGTGTGTGGGCTTTGGAGTCAGTTGGGCCTGGGTTCAAATCCTGCCTGCATCTTTCCTGGCTGTGGGCTCCTGAAAAGCCATTTCACTTCCCTGGGCCTATTTCCCCACCTTTTAATGGGGGTACTTAGTAGTATATTGACCTCACAGGATTTTTCAAAAGGTTAAATACTGTGCCTCTTCCAGTGCCTGGCATAGCTGATATTATACTACGGTTTTTCTTTTCTTTTTTTTTAATCTTTTTTTTTTTTTTTTTAAATCAAGAGGAGTGGTTCTAACAAGTAAAGGAACTAAATACAGAACAACCATCTCAGGACACACTAGGCTGTCTGTCACTAGAGGGGTCCAGGCTGGGCGGCCACTTTGTAGGAATATTGGCAAAGGGATCCAGCACTGGGATAGGGTCAGGGTGGCCTTGGAAGACCCAGCCCGGAGATTTGGCCTCTCAATACCATCACCATCATCACCACCAGTGATATCAGCAGCACTTTGCAGCTTACAGAGCATCTCACTTGTTCCCCAAATTATTCCCGTCTCACAGATGAGACCTTGGAGGCTCAGAGAAGTTAAGTGACCACCATTCAGAATACTCCTTCCTTAACATCTTCCCCCCACAGCGAAGCAGGATGGCTTCCTCAAACCTCCTTGTATTTGTTTGTCTATTTGTTTTGAGACGTAGTCTGTTGCCCGGGCTGGAGTGCAGTGGTGCAATCTCAGCTCACTGCAACCTCCGCCTCCCGAGCTCAAGCGATTCTCCTGCCTCAGCCTCCCAAGTAGCTGGGATTACAGGCGCCCGCCACCATGCCAGGCTGATTTTTGTGTTTTTAGTAGAGATGGGGTTTCACCATATTGGCCAGGCCAATCTCAAACTCCTGACCTCAAGTGATCCGCCCGCCTCAGCCTCCAGAGTGCTGGGATTACAGGTGTGAGCTACCACACTCAGTACCAAACCTCATGAAATGGCCATAAGACCTGACTTTCTCCAGGACTTACTTGGGGCATTTCTCAGATGGGGAGGTAGAGGTTCTAGGTCTCTGACTCCAAGTCTAATTCCCCTAAACGTGTGGTTCTTCCAGTTTGTGGTGTATTGAACAGAGTAGGGTGGTTTCAACCTCTCTGGAGAAGGTGAGTATCCTCGTTAGCATCTTTTTCCTAGACATCTTCTTTAGAGCTCTTCTTCAGAGCTCTTTTTTTTTTTTTCTTTTGAGACGGAGTCTTGCTCTGTCACCCAGGCTGGAGTGCCGTGGCACCATCTCAACTCACTGCAACTGCTGCCTCCCGGGTTCAAGCGATTCTCCTGCCTAAGCCTCCCAAGTGGCTGGGAGTACAGGAGTGTGCCACAACGCCCGGCTAGTTTTTGTATTTTTAGTAGAGGCAGGGGTTTTACCATGTTGGCCAGGCTGGTCTGAAACTCCTGACCTCAGGTGATCTGCCTGCCTTGGCCTCCCAAAGTGCTGGAATTACAGGCGTGAGTCACCACATCCAGCCCAAAAATTAATTTTAAATGGACCACAGACCTAAATATAAGAGGCAAAACTATGAAATTCATAGAGAAAAATAGAGGAATGAGTCATTGTGACCTTGAGTAGGCAGGTCCTCTTAGATAGGACACCAAAAGCACAGATGACAAAATAAAAAATAGATAAATTCAACTTTATCAACATTTAAAACTTCTGTGCTTCAATGGGAATTATGGAAAAAAATGAAAGAAAACTCACAGAATGAGAAAAAATATTTGCAAATAATGTATCTAATAAGGGACTAGTATCCAGAATACATACAGGATTCTTATAACTCAACACTAAAAAGATAATCCAATTTAAGAATGGGCAAAGGATTTGAATAGATTTATAAGTGGTCACAAGCACATAAAAGGTACTCAGTATCATTAGTCATCAGGGAAATGCCAATCAAAACCACTGCACATCCACTAGAATGGCTATAATGAAAAGGACAGATAATAGCAAGTACTGGCCAGGCATGATGGCCGCGCCTGTAATCCTAGCACTTTGGGAGGCCAAGGCAGGCAGATCACTTGAGTCCAGGAGTTCAAGACCAGCCTAGGCAACATGGTGAAACCCTGTATGTACACAAAATACAAAAATTAGCCAGGCATGGAAGCGAGCATCTATAGTCCCAGCTACTTGAGGGGCTCAGGCGGGAGGATCACTTGAGCCTGGGAAGTCGAGGCTGCAGTGAGCCAAGATCACACCACTGCACTCCAGCCTGGGCAACAGAGCAAGAATTTGTCTCAAAAAATACAAAATAACAAGTGTTGACGAGGATATAAAGAAATTGGAACCCTCAAACAATGCTAGTGGACATGTACAATCGTGCAACACCTTGGAAAACAGTTTACAGGTTCCTCAAAATTTAAACATGGAATTATTATGTGCGGCAATTCCACTCCTAGATACATACTCAAGAGAAACGAAATAGGCTGGGTGAGGTAGCTCATGCCTGTAATCCCAGCACTTTGGGAGGCCGAGGTGAGCAGATCACTTGAGGTCAGGAGTTTGCAACCAGCCTGGCCAACATGGCGAAACCTCATCTCTACTAAAAATACAAAAATTAAGTCAGGCATGGTGGCGCACACCTGTAGTCCCAGCTACTCAGGAGACTGAGGCACGAGAATCGCTTGAACCTGGGAGGCAGAGGTTGCAGTGAGCCGAGATGGCACCATTGCCCTCCTGTCTGGGGGACCGAGACACTGTCTCGAAAAAGAAAAAGAAATGAAAACATATGTCCACACAAAAACTTGTACATGAAATTTTTATAGCAGCATTTTTCATAATAGCCAAAAAGCAGAAACAACTCCAGTGCCAACAATGGATAAAATGGTATACCCATTTTACTGAATGCGATATATCTATACAAGGAATATTTGGCAATAAAGAAATATGAAAGGCCAGGCACGGTGGCTCACACCTGTAATCCCAGCACTTTGGGGGGCTGAGATGGGCGGATCACCTGAGGTCAGGAGTTCAAGACCAGCCTGGCCAACATGATGAAACCTCATCTCTACTAAAAATACAAAAAAAAATTAGCCGGGCATGGTGGCAGGCACCTGTAATCCCAGCAACTTGGGAGGCTGAGGCAGGAGAATCATTTGAACCCAGGAGGCACAGGTTGCAGTAAGCTGAGATGGCGCCACTGCACTCCAGCCTGGGCAACAAGAGCAAAACTTGGTCACAAACAAACAAAAACCAAAAAGAAATATGAAGTACTGATCCATGCTACAACATAGAAGAACCTTAGAAAGAAGCCAAGTGAAAGAAGTCAGACACAAAAGACTGCATAGTGTATGATCCCATCTATATGAAATGTCCAAAATAGGCAAATCCATAGAGACAGGAAGTGGCTGCAAAGGCCTGGGAGGGGAGTCTAGGGAGGAATAGGGGATGATGGCTAATGGGTATGGAATTTCTTTGGGGAGAGGATAAAAATATTCTAAAAAGCTGGGCATGATGGCTCACACCTATAGTATCCTCTACTCAGGAGGGTGAAGTGGGAGGATCATTTGAGCCCATGAGTTCGAGACCAGCCTGAACAATATAGGGAGACCCTGATTCAAAAAAAAAATAAATTTTCTAAAACTGATTGTAGTAATGGTTGTGTGGATATGATAAGGCATTTCATTGCATGCTTTCACTGGGTAAATTGTATGATATGTGAATTATATCTCAATAAAGCTCAATATATATCTCAATATATGAAGATATTATGGCCAAATAAAGCTGCTATAAAAAATAGGAAAAGAGAAGGCCAGGTTCAGTGGCTCATGCCTGTAATCCCAGCACTTTGGAAGGGCAAGGCAGGAGGATCACTTGAGCCCAGGAGTTTGAGACCAGCCTGGGCAACATAGTGAGACCAGTCTCTACAAAAAATTTTAAAATTAGCTGCGCATGGTGGTGCATGCCTGTGGGCCCAGCTACAAGGGAGGCTGAGGTAGGAGGATCGCTTCAGCCCAGGAGATGGAGGCTGCAGTGAACCATGATTGTACCACTGCGCTCCAGCCTGGGCAACAGAGCAAGACTGTCTCGAAAAAAAGAAAAAAAAGGAAAAGAGGATGCTGGAGCAAAGTGAGTTACTGGCTGAAGAGGACGAATAGCTCTCTTCGGATGAAGGAAGCACGGCTCCCCGAACTTCACACTTCACACACTGCTCTTGCCTGCTGTGGAGGAGACAGTGGGCCTCCTTAGGAGCAGAGGAGGAAGAGAGGCTAAAAGAAAGGGGTGGGAGATGGGTCAGCAAACCTCAGAGCCTCCCGTCTCTAGAGAGGAACCTAAAACCAGGTCTTGATGGACCAACGGTCAAGTAGCAGAGTAAACATATAACCAAATCCACAGAGAAACAGAACTGATTCATGGTGAAATCTTTAGGAGAAAAAGACTTTTCTTAGTTTAGAAATGATGGTAAAAATCACAGAAAAAACCAATGGACAAGTAAGCCGTCAAGCATGTGAAAATAAAAATGAACAGATGTCAAGACAAAAATTAAAGAATCAGTGACCACAGAAAAGATGTGTAGCAAATGCAATAGTCTAATGTTTCTGTCACGTGAAAATCCCACATGAAGTAACAGTAAAAAGTATGACTGTTTATGTACTAAGTAAAGGATATGGACAAACATAAAAGAGAAAATACAGCTGGTAGGACCCCATCTGGGAAAAAGCTCAAAGTTCCTAGTAATAGAAGATACATAATTTCAAAGGCATGCAAATGGGGGAAAATGAAAATTGGAAGAAATGCTAATTTTAAGGCAAAACACTGCTTCCTCATCAAGTCAGTGGGATGTACAACATCTTTTCATTTTGAAAACTTCAAAACTCACAGAATATTTGCAAGAGTCATATAATGAATGCCCCTATCTGCTTCACCTAGATGTGCCCAATCATTTCAGAAATGGCTGTTTAAAACAATTGTCCCCAGGACTGGGGAGCTGGGATGAAATGGACCAGTCAATAGGAGGGTAAACATATTTTGTTTTATTTATTTATTTATATTTATTTTTGAGACAGAGTCTTGCTCTATCACCCAGGCTGGAGTGCAGTGGCACAATCTTGGCTCACTGCAACCTCCACCTCTCTGGTTCAAGCGATTCTCCTGCCTCAGCCTCCCGTGGGGTGAGTAACAGGCACTCACCACCACGCCTGGCTAATTTTTATATTTTTAGTAGAGACAGGGTTTCACCATGTTGGCCAGGCTGGTCTCGAACTCCTGACCTCAAGTGATCTGCCCGCCTCAACCTCCCAAACTGCTAGGATTACAGGCGTGAGCCACCACACCCAGCGAGGGTAAAAACATAAAAGGACATTTCTGGGAAGCAATGTGGCCAGATGGGCTTGACTCAGTATTTACACCTCTATGACACCATCCAAAGGAAACATCTTAAATACCGTAAAAGATTTATGAAGAAATATGCTCCTTTGCAGCATTATGTGTCACTATAGCAAGAAACTGAATACTTCCCGAATGCCTGCAGCATGGGGGATTAGAAAACCAGGAAACCTACTCAGTGGAATATTTTTGTAACAGAAAAAAAAAAAAAAGTCTACAAGGAAAATACTGCTGATAATGTTTAGTGCAAGAAAAGGTTAAATTTATACAGTGGGATCATTTGTATATAAACGGTGAATGACAACAAAATTCCCTACAAATAAGCCTAGAAGGAAAACAAGTAAGTAGTTTTTGCCAGAAAATGTGCCTAGAGAAGGTTTCTTTTCCTTTTGGTACTTTTCTGAATTTTCTGATTTGATTTTCATGAGCTATACCACTTTTATAAAAACTATATCCTTTAGATGTTTTATGATGTAATTATTAGAGTAAGGCCTATCCGTTGTAGAAACAATTCATAATAGTTATGTATAAAGTTGAAAATAAATGTTTCCTGACCTGATTCTAATACTCTGCAGTTTTCAGAGTTAATAAATTAGTGAGGCTGGGCACGATGGCTCACGCCTGTAATCCCAGCACCTTGGAAGATCAAGGTGGGAGGATTCAAACTGTTGAATCAAGGTGACACTCTTGAGCCTAGGAGTTTGAGACCAGCCTGGGCAACCTAGCGAGAACTCATTGCTACAAAAAACAAGTTAGCCAGACTTAGTGGCGTGTGCCTGTGGTCCCAGCTACTCAGGAGGCTGAGATGGGAGGATCACTTGAGCCCAGGAGTTCAAGGCTGCAAAGAGTGGTGATCCCACCACTGTACTCGATCAGGGGCAATAGAGGAGGAAACTGTCAATCAATCAATCAATCAGTAAGATAGATTAGTGAATCATGAACATCCTTTCATGCTTCTTCTTAAACAGAAACATCCTTCCTTAAAGGCAAAAATGAGGCCAGGCGCGGTGGCTCACGCCTGTAATCCTAGCACTTTGGGAGGTGGAGACGGGTGGATCACGAGGTCAGGAGATCGAGACCATCCTGGCTAACACGGTGAAACCCCGTCTCTACTAAAAAAATACAAAAAACTAACCGGGCGAGGTGGCAGGCGACTATGGTCCCAGCTACTCGGGAGGCTGAGGCAGGAGAATGGCGTGAACCCGGGAGGCAGAGCTTGCAGTGAGCTGAGATCCAGCCACTGCACTCCAGCCTGGGCGACAGAGCGAGACTCCGTCTCAAAAAAAAAAAAAAAAAGGCAAAAATGGGAACGTGAATATACCAGTTCTCCATCTTACATTTTGTTTTTAACTTAGTCATCTGTTTTAGGTACCTTTCTATGTCCTGATATTTCGACCTATCTCATTGCTTTTAATAGATGCACAAGATCACATAGATGCTTTATCATTCATTTCACCATCCCTCAAGGGAGATTTAAGGGATCAAGGGTGATGACTGTACACTATTATATACAGTGTTTCAATGAATATTTTTGTATTTAGTATATGTATAGATATACTATATGTAAATATATATTTGAATAATTATATATAAACTATATATATTATATATAATAAAGTCAGGTTGAAAATGTTTATTATTTTATGATCCAAGATTATTTTAAAATTTGGTATGTAATATCTGATGTGAATATGATAAAATATTAATCTGTTAAATCTGGATGGTAAATGCATGGGTTGTTACAGTCTTTCCTGCAGTTTTCTATTTATAGGAAATTATTTTCTATTAATATTTCAAGATTAAAAATTTTAAACAATATAAAAGAAGGGGTGGAAAATGTGTATTTACTCACTGTGAAAACAGCAAAGCCTCATTAACTAGTAACTAGCCTCGGGAGAGGGCTTGATTTGTTTAAAAAGTCCCCATGATGCCCAGAGCTCTGCAAACATTTTTAAGTGGCAGAGGAGGACCACTAACATTTACTGAGAGGTCACTCTGGGCCAGCCACTGTTTTAAGTGTTTTACATGTATTATTTAACTTTAGTAAAAAACAAAAAACAAACAAACAAAAAAAACCTCGATGACTTGTGTATGATAAATGCTTGTTAGAATTACAAAATAAAATGAATGTACTGGAAGTGCTGACGTTGGCAAAATAGAAAAAAACAAATTGCAAAAAATACTCAGAAAGGTCTAATCCCAGTCTCACATGCAGGCAATGCACATGCATCACCTTGGACACGCACTCAACTGAATGGGAAAATTAACGCAGAGAGATGCACATGGGCTAAAAGCATTGGCTAGGTTGCCCACACCCGAAGCTGGGTAGCGTCACCCCTTTCCATCTTTCCCACGTGCAGGTCATCTGGTCCTGCCCACTTGCCTCCTAAATATTGCTGGATTCTCTACCTCTTTTCTTCTGAGGCTCAGGCCTAAAGATCTTCTTTTGATGTGTTTATTATGACCAGATAATACATTCACATTGCTCAAAAGTTAAAACGCACACAATGTATGTAAGGAAACATCTCCTTTCTACCTCTGTCTCCACTCACATTTCTCTTCCCAAACGCTACATCTATTTCCAGCTTCTTTTTTTTTTGAGACAGTCTTGCTCTTGTCACCCAGGCTGGAGCGCAATGGTGTGATCTCGGCTCACTGCAAACTCTGCCTCCCAGGTTCAAGGGATTCTCATGCCTCAGCCTCCCTAGTAGCTGGAATTACAGGCAGGTGCCACAATGCCAACTAATTTTGTATTTTTAGTGGAAATGGGGTTTCACCATGTTGGCCAGGCTGGTCTCCAACTCCTGGCCTCAGGTGATCCACCTGCCTTGGCCTCCCAAAATGCTAGCATTACAGGTGTGAGCCACTGCACCCAGCTTCTTGTCTGTTCTTCCAGAGATGTCTATGTACAGATAAGCAAACATATATATAGAGAGAGAGAGAGAATTTTTTTTTGAGACAGGGTCTATGCTCTGTCACCCTGACTGGCACACAGGGGCAAAATCACAGCTCACTGCAGCCTCGAACTCCTGGGCTCAAATGATCCTCCCACCTCAGCCTCCTGAGTAGCTGGGAGTACAGGCATGTGACACCACATCTGGCTAATTTATTTTTATTTTTATTTTTTTCATAGAGACAGGATCCCACTATGTTGCCCAGGCTGGTCTTGAACTCCTGGCTTCAAGTGATCCTTCTGCCTCAGCCTCCAAAGTGCTGGAATTACAGGTGTGAGCCACCACATCTGGCCAGATATAATTTTTAACATGAACGAGAACATACTTTCACACTGTTCTAGACATACTTTGTTTTTTCCCAATTAACAATATATCTTGGAAATCGTTTCATATCAGGACATAAAGCACTTTCCCCATTCCTTTTTAACAGCTTCATAGTATTCCACTGTATAAAGGAGCCATTCATTTCATTGTTCCCTATTTTTTTCTCTCACAGACAAGGCTGTGCAGTGAATAACCTTGAAGCCTGTCTTGTCTCATACTGCAGATGTACTTGTAAGACGATAAAATCCCAGAAGGGGAATTGCTGGGTCACAGGGTAGGTGCATTTGTCTTTTAACAGATCTTTGCCAGATTGTCTTCAAAGGAGTCATACCAATCAATTTACAAACCCGCCAGCAACATATGCATTCTCCCAGCCTCGCCAGGACAGCGTGTTATCAAACTTTTGGTCTTTGCCAATCGGATGGGTGAAAATAGCATTGTGCTTGAATGAATGAGTGAGCCAATGACTAGGCACTGAAGAAACAGGCATATACAGTGTTCTCCAAAGGGCTAAAACTATCCGACCCTAGGAATATAAGTAAATGTGAATGTTAGGCATAGCACCAAAACTATCATTAGGCAGAGCGGTTTGTGGTGAGCTGCGCTAAGCAGAGTTGGCCTCTCCCACGGAATCACCCCCACAAGACTGGAAGCTCCCGGAGGGAAGGGACCAGACCTGTCTCATACATTGTCTCCTGTGCCCAGACCACAGCAGGCACTCAGCAAACATCTGTGGGACAAAGGAGTTCACTTGCGACCGGCCAGAGTGTGGGAAGGGGTAGGTGTGTTGGGGGTGGTTCGGCAGGATCCCAGGATACACTGGTCATCAATGCTGTTCAGCGTGAAGCGGGTGTTGGAGAATCGGGCAAAGCCATCCCGGTACAGCCAGGCCCGCAGCGGGATGTACTAAGGCAGAGGTGGAAACAGAGAGAGAGAAGGGAAAAGGAATATATTCAGGCACTCTCAGACCGCCTAGCTCTTGCACCTACCGTTTCCTCCACCCGGAGTGCCCTTCTGTCTTTCCCAAATCATCCTTCAGGCACCTGCTTTTACACCAGCCTTCTTTGATTCTGTCCCCTCCTTTCCCCCAGGGGGAGGGGGATACAGAAGGAAACAAAATGAAGGTGAGGTCCAGGAGGACAGGGGTGGGGTCTGCCTCAGATACCTCCATACCCTGTGCCCAGCAAAAAGATCTGAACGTTGGCTGGATGAAGGAATGAATGAATGGGTGGAGGGACATAGCCACTCCCTGGTTAAGAGAGTAGGCTCTGAGGCCAGGCTGCCTGGATTTGAATCCCAGCTCTGCTGCTCACCAACTGTGTGACTTTGGGCAAGGTACACAACCTCTGTATCTGTTCCCTCATTGTAAAGGGAGGATAGTAATAGAACCTGCCTCTCTGCGTTGTTAAGAGGCCTGAATGAGATAAAACCTGCTAAGTGCCAGGGCCTGGTACTTAGTAGGTACTCTATAAATGTCTGCTGTGGATGACCGAATGAATAAAGAAGGGCAGATAGAGGGCAAATCTAAATTTTTGGGCATCTAAGATGGTAAACCTCAGATAAGTCTTCCTGCCCCCACCCTATCCCTAGATGTCCCTTGGGGCTCTCCCAGGCAGAGAAGACCAGACAAGTTCATACAAGGTACCCCCAGGCCTCTTCCCCCCATCTCCCTAGTCCAGCCACCCTTTAACCACTGCTGGAAGAGGGACCCCACCTTTGTTACTCACCGACATCACCAGCACATAGACACGCAGGTCAAACTTGCGGCCTGTCAGGCAAAGAAAGAATTTGTGCACAAATATTGATCGTCAGACATTGTGCTAGGTTTTGGGAAAATAGCAGTGGACAGACAGGAAACCCCGCCTTCATGAAGCTCCCACTGAAACGACACAAGGGACCAGGTGCAGCGCCTCATGCCTGTGATCCCAACACTTTGGGAGGCGGAGGCAGGAGGATCGCTTGAGGCCAGGAATCCAAGACCAACCTGAGCAACATAGTGAGACTGTGTCTACAAAAAATTAGCCTCACGTGGTGGTGCACACCTGTAGTCTCGGCTGCTCTGGAGATTGAGGCAGGAGGATCGCTTGAGCCCAGGAGATGGAGGCTGCCTGAGCTCTGATCATGACAATGCACTCCAGCCTGGGCGACAGAGCGAGACATGGTCTCAAAAAAACACAACAAAAAAACTGCACAAGGTATAAAGAGAGAATAACGGGAGGCGGGGGAGGGGTGCGTGGGGGTCAACTTGGGGGAAAGGCTTGAAACTCAGTGGTCAAAGACCCCCATGAGGAGTGGTGACCTTCATGGAGTGAAGGTGCCTGCCTAGCCCAGAGTGGTGCAGGACCTTGGGCAGGAGGAACTGCGAGAACAGAGGCCTGGAGGGGGAAAGAGCTCGGGCCAAGGGCAGAGTGGAAGGAGATGAGGTCGGCTAGGCTGGCAGAGGTCAGGGCCCATGCAGTTTTGGGGTTTTGTCTCACAAACCATGGGAAGCCACGGAAGGGTGTCTCCTCCCTCTGGCTGCCACGCTGAGGTGGAGAGAAGTGGGCAGAATAGCAGCAGGTGCCAGTGAGGGAGCAGGTGTGGTGGTCCAGGAGGGAGAGGATGGTGGCCGGGCCCAGGGTGGAGGTGAGAGGAGCAGCCAGGCAGATTCAAGAGCTTGTAGGAGCTTGGTGAGAACCAGATGTGGCGGGGGAAGAGGGACACACCCAGAATGGCTCCTGGCTTCTAGCTGTGTCCCCGACACAGAAGCTGAGGAGTGGTGGGGGGATGGGAGGGCAGAATTTGGGATGTGTTGGGTTTGAGTGGCTGGCAGATGCCCAAGAGGGATGTCACAGGCTACTGGACATCAGGATCTGGGGTTCAGGGACAAGGTCTCGGCTGGGGACAGAAAGCTGGGAGTCACTGGCCTTTGGGTGGTGTTTAAGCCACAGACAGGATGGGGTCACTATGGGGGAGAGAGGAGAAGAGGCCTAGGGACTTCCCCCTGGGGAAGGTAATTGCCAGAGGACGTGGGAGGAGGCAACTGGCATTAACACTATTGCAATGACGTCCCGCATGCCTGATGTGCCTGTAGTTCCCAGAGCCCCAGTGAGAAAAGCAGATGTTGGCCTGCCTGGGGAAACCCACCAAGGTTGCGGGCAGGAGGCTGGGTTCCACCTCAGGGCCTTCTGCCTTTGCAATTCCTCCTCCCTGCATTCCCCTCCCTCCAAATCTACCCACAGTGACTCATAGTTGTCACTCAGGTCTCAGCTCACGTGTCCACCTCCTGGCCCCCATGTCACTCTCTGTCCCATTGCTCTGCCTGACTGACTTCCTAACACCCAGCACTGCATGGGACCGTCCCGTGGTTTGTTTTCTGGTTTATTGCAGCCTGCTCAGCAGGGGTGTAAGCTCCAGGAGAGCAGGGTTGGGGGGTAGCCAGTTTTCAGGGCAGTGCTGGCACCAAGTAGGTACTTTATAATATTTGTTGGATAAATGCATGAATGAATAAGTTAGTTTTTAAAGGAGGAGAATTTTCCTGAACCAAGAAGGGAGTGGAATGGACATGCTGGGGAGAGGCAATGGCTAGGAGGTGGGAGACTGCAGAACCCATCTCTTTCCACGCAACCCTTCATGCCTGGTGTCAGGCTGGGCCCTTGGCAGGCTGCTGGTCAAAGCTTGTTGACTGACTGACTGATGACCATGCAATGGAAGAGCAGGAGCAGAGACAGCCATCTCACCTCCTATCAGGTAGGGATTTTCAATGTAACGCTGAGCCACATAGTTCTCCACAGGAATATCATCTTTCTGGTCATCAGAGCTTCTTGTGTCCTAGTTGTAATAATAATAATAATTGAACATTTATTTATGGAACATTTCCTATGTATTAGGCATTGTGTTAGATACTACTTGGGGTAGCTCATTGGATCTTTAAATCAACCCTATTAGTACTTACTATCAGGTAAGTACTAATGTTATTTCCATTTCACAGATTAGAAGCACAGAGAGGGAGAGTAACTTGTCCGAGTTCACACAGCCAGTTAGTGGTGTTGCTGGGATGTAAACCCACACAGTCTGGGCCCAGAGCCTAAGTGTTTAACCTCTAGACTTGTGCTGCCCAGTAGGGCAGTCACTGGCCACAAGAGGCTATTTACATTTACCTTGATGAAAAGTAAATGAAATTACATGCTACAGCATGGATGAAACTCGAAGACATAAGGCTAAGTGAAATAAGCCAGACACAAAAGGACAAATATTGTCTGGTGTCACTTAGATGAGGTGCCTGGAACAGTCGAGTTCATGGAGATAGAAGGTAGATGGGGGCTGCTAGGGGCTGGGGAGAGAAGGGGATGGGGAGCTTGTGTTTAACAGTTTCAGAGTTTCAGTTTGGGAAGATGAAACATTCTGGAGATGGACGGTGGTGGTGGTTGCACAACAATGTGAATGCACTTAATGTAACAAAGTCACACACTTAAAAGAGGTTACAATGGTAAATTTCATGCTACATATTTTACCACAATTTTTTTTTTTTTTTTGAGAATGAGTCTTGCTCTGTTGTCCAGGCTGGAGTGCAGTGACATGATCTCGGCTCACTGCAACCCCTACCTCCCGGGTTCAAGCAACTCTTGTGCCTCAGCCTCTGAAGTAGCTGGGATTACAGGTGAGAGCCACCATGGCTAAGTTTTGCATTTTTAGTGGAGATGGGGTTTCACCATGTTGGCCAGGCTGGTCTCGAACTCCTGACCTCAAGTGATCCGCCCACCTCAGCCTCCCAAAGTGCTGGGATTACAGGTGTGAGCCACCACACCCAGCCCACAATTTTTAAAAAGGATATGAAATTAAAAATCCAGTCCTCAGTCACACCAGCCACATGGTAAGCGCTCAACATCCTGCATGTAGCTAGTGGTCACCACATTGGAGGGCACAGATATCCACCATTTCCATCCCTCTAGAAAGTTCTGTTGGACAGTGCTGCTTACACCACCCATGGGCCCCCGAGGACATTGCTCCTTCTTCTCTACCTGCCAGCCCAGCTCTGGAAGACAGCAATGCTCTCATGCATCTGCACAGCACCTCACAGGCTGCAAACGCCTCTCCCACCTATTGTCCCCTTCACTCAAAGACAAGGGTCACACACTTGATGGGGTGACACAACAGCCCCAACAATGGCAGGCAGCACTGGCTCTCAGGGTAGACCTGCTCCACCCCTCATTGTTCCCCATTTAGCTGTATCATGACAGAAGCAGCCAGGTTTTGCCTTCCTGGGACCTGGGCCCAGCCACTCACGTGGCTGCCAGAGGGACTGACAGTGCTCCAGCAGGCTGGGCCTCCAGGCTGCTGAGCTTCTTCCCTGCAGTGCCCTGACAGTTTCATGGGAGGAGTCAAGACACTGAGCACTGCTGTTCACCTCCTGGTACAGCAGGGGCCGGTCCTATAGGATTTCAGCCATCCTGCTCCTCCCACCCACCCTGCACCATCATCACCACTCGGGTTCAGAGGGTTCAGAGGGCTTCGGTCATTTTCCCAAGACCACACATCTGCTGAGTGGGAGAGGCAGGATTTGAATCAGGATTTCCACTGCACCGTGTCTTGGGACAAGAAGGGATTGGGGTTGGGAGGGAGCTGCCCCCGAGGCTCAGTCTAGGCCCTGAGGAAGAGTCAGCCAAACTCTCCCCAGCCACGTGAGCAGGAGGCCCAGATAAAAAATGTGCGTCGAGGCCGGGCGCGGTGGCTCAAGCCTGTAATCCCAGCACTTTGGGGAGGCCGAGACGGGCGGATCACGAGGTCAGGAGATCAAGACCATCCTGGCTAACATGGTGAAACCCCACCCCAACAAAAAAAAATACAAAAAACTAGCTGGGCGAGGTGGTGGGCGCCTGTAGTCCCAGCTACTCGGGAGGCTGAGGCAGGAGAATGGCGTGAACCTAGGAGGCAGAGCTTGCAGTGAACTGAGATATCCGGCCACTGCACTCCAGCCTGGGCGACAGACCGAGACTCTGTCTCAAAAAAAGAAAAAAAAAAAATGTACATCGAGCGCTGAGTGCCAGGCACTGTGCTGGGTGTGTGGGTATGTGTGAGAATGTGTGTGTGTGTGTGTGTGTGTGTGTTTATTAGCTCACTGCATCCTCAGCAGGTACAATCACCATCCACATTTACTGGGGCACTGACAGGTGAAGTAACTTGCCCAAGGGCACACAGCTATTGAGTGATTGAGTGGCAAGGTCAGGATTTGAACCTGAACAATCTGGCTCTGGAGACCCTGCTCCAATGGGCAGACCTGTGGGCAGAGTTTCTCTGCCAGCCCTCTGAGCTTTGACAGCAGGAAGGAGGGGCCCCTCCTGCTGGCAAGGTCAGAGGAGGGTTCAGGGAGGAAGGGGAAGAGGCAGGCTCACCTTCCTCCAGTCCATGATGTCCTTCAGCCTGCGGAAGAGGAAGATGCCTTTCCCCTGTGACCGGGCTACCTGGGGTGGGGTGGGCGCAGAAAGCCAGCTCTTAGCTCTGCATGGTTCTTCGTTGGCCCCCATGGCTGGAGGCTCTCCCCAGCATATCTGTCTCTTTTTCCTTATGAGCCCCCAACTCTCCCCAGAGGAAGGCTAACTGAAGGGGCTGGAACAGAGAAGGTGCTAACCCTGGCAGAGGGAGAGAGGGAAGCGAGGGAAAGAGGCAGACTGACTTAGCTCACAAAGACATACATTTGCATGAATAATGCAAAAGAACAGACAATTAAAAAGCCATTTCTAACAGTCCTGGGAACATATTATCCAATTCTTTTTTTGGAAATCAATTTGCCTTCCTAATTAGGGTTTGCTTCGGCTAATACTGAAATCAGCCTGCCTTTACTGAAACCCAGCATGGATAATTCATAGCTTCACAGAGTCTAGGGGCTGACAGAATCTTTGATCTCATATGGAGTGGTCCTCAACAAAGGCATTACTCCCCTTCTACCACTGTAGGACAACAGTCCTCCTGCCTGACTTTGCACACCCACAGTGCCTAGGAGCTCACTACCTCCCCCAACCCACGCCAAACACAGCCCATTTTGTTACAGGATAGCTTTGTTAAGTAGTCATCCAAAAGGTATATATGAAGTGCATACTGTATGTTGAGCTTTATGCAATAACCCAGACCTCATAGAACGTTCACAGCCTAACCTGTGTTGAGCTAAAACTGGCCAGTCTGGCTTTGGCTTCTAGGACCTCCTAGAACAAAGCTGATTCCTGGGTCCAGAAGAGTCCTTTAGGTATTTGCAGCAACTGAGCAGGTCCCCCAAGCCATCTTACCTCCAGCATAACTGCAAACTCTCATTTCCTTCTGTTCTCCTCTGAACATGGCCCACCTGACCCACCCGAGGCTCTCTGTACAAGGTAGGGGCAGGCAGGGTTGTCAAGTGTGGTTGTACAGGTTGCTAACTGCACAAAGGGCCCCTGCTCTGCCTGCCATGCTGTGCACCCTGGTTCAGGGTTGTGTATGCCCAGAAGACTGGGTGCCAAAAACTCTATGGAGTACTGGTGGTGGCTCAGGGCAGCCAAGTGTGCATAGCAATTTTAGAAAGCAACTAATCAGTGTGTACCAGGAGCTTCCAACAGTTCACAGCCTTGCAAAAGACTTGAACAGGCATTTTATGAAAGAAGATTGCCAGTGTAAACATACAATAGGTTGGGCCCAGTGACTCACATCTGTAATCCCAGCACTTTGGAACGCCGAAGTAGGAGGATTATTTAAGCTCAGGAGTTTGAGACAAGCCTAGGCAACGTAGTAAGACCTTGAGACCTCATGGCTACTAAAAATAATTTTAAAAATTAGCTGGGTGTGACAGTGCACCCCTGTAGTACCAGCTACTTGGAAGGTGGAGGTGGAAGGGTGATTTGAGCCCAGGAGAGCAGGGCTGCAGTGGTCAGGGATTGCACCACTGCACAGCCTGGGCAACAGTGTGAGACTCTGTCTTTATTTAAAAAAAAAAGAAAAGAAAAGAAAAGAAAAGAACAGGCACTCAACTTCATCAGAGAGTTCACCAACAGAGAAGTGCTAATTGACAAAACAAGAGCACCATCATCTCGGACAAACACCACCATTTTAAGTTCCAGCTCCCTTTCTAACCTCATGCATTCCAAGGAAATCACTTCTCTTCTAACTATGAACAGCCAGAAAGAGCAGACAGTAAAACACAGATAAGACAGCTCAGGCACAGAGGGAGGCGGGGGGAAAGTCTCTTGGGCAACTGCCAAACTTCACCCTCATACAATGGACTCCAGTAAAACAGTGGGTCTTAATAAGCACATTCCTTTCCCTTCAGGTGCACTAAGATAAGAAAGCTAAAAGCAGACTTGGGGGATATGCCTGCAGCTGCAGAAAGATGTAGGGGAACAGACACACAACTCTCCCTCCCAGATAAGCACAACAAAGAGACACAGAAGCAGTCCAAGCCTCTAATAAATTCTCCCACCCTGAATCCTTAAAAACTCTTAGTCTGGCTGGGGCACGGTGGCTCATGCCTGTAATTCCAGCACTTTGGGAGGCTGAGGTGGGTGGATCACAAGGTCAGGAGATCGAGACCATCCTGGCTAACACAGCAAAACCCCGTCTCTACTAAAAATACAAAAAATTAGCTGGGCATGGTGGTGGGTGTCTGTAGTCCCAGCTACTCAGGAGGCTGAGGCAGGAGAACGGTGTGAACCCAGAAGGCAGACCTTGCAGTGAGCCGAGATCGCGCCACTGCACTCCAGCCTGGGCTACAGAGCGAGACTCCACCTTTAAAACAAAACAAAACAAAACAAAAAACTCTTAAGTCTGTAAGAAAGTGTGGCTCTGACCTAACTCAGCCAGAAGGCTCCTCTCAGGTTTGTTTTCTCTAAAATAAATCTGTCTTGACTGGCGAGCCACCTTTCGAGTTTCTCTCCTCTTTCTTTAATTCTTACACTAATGAAAATCACTATATGATACTACTACATACTACCTGAGAATGGTTAAATTAAAGACAGACAATACCAAGTATTGGTGAGGATGTGGAGAAACTGGAACTTGCACACACTGCTGGTATGGGAGTATGTTGTTTGGAAACTGGTAGCATTCGCTAAAGCTGAACATAGGCATCCTCTATCCTAGGTCCCAGAAATTCCTCTCCTAGGGACCTACATGACAGAAATGTCTGGACATGTCACCATGGACATGGCCCCAGACACCCATAGCAGCACTATCATAATAGCTCCACCCGGAGACTACCCAATGGATGAATATTTAATCAGTGGAATAGTGTACAAAGATGACAGTAATGTACAATTACCCACAACAGCAGAATGAACTGCAAAACATGTCAAGGGAGAGAAACCAGACACAAGGTACTCACCCTATAAGATTCCAATTAATTGAAGTCCAAAAGCAGACAAAGCAAACCTATGCTGTTTAGTGCCTTGAGGGGCTGTGAGTGAGTGGAAGGGGGTCTAAGAGGGTGGCTGAGGGGTAGGGAATGCTCTGTTTATGACCTGGGTGCTGGTTATTTGAGTGGATTCACTTTGTGAAAATTCATACTGTGCCCCTAAAATTTGACTACTCTTCTATGGTTTATTAAACTTCAATTAAAAGGTATCTTTTCAGGTTCATACTCTTTGATCTAGGAACCCCTATCTCCAACCCTATTGGCTGCCTTCCCTATGGCCACTTTCCTTCTTCTTCTTCCTTGCTAGCAAAGCCCACCTCTCATGAGGGAGGCTGGAAAGGCCAGATGTAGGTTTTCCCAGCTTCCCTTGCAGTTGGTGGAAACCTCATGACCAGTTTTAGCCAATCAGACCTAAGGAGACATTTGTTCAGAGATTCCAGGAAAGATGTTTCTCCTTTCTAAAAATATTAGGGAAGGAGCTGGGGAGAAAGGGGGTCGGGAAGAAAAGTCCTGGCCTCCTTCCTTCTTTCTTTGAATGCTACTGTCTGCAGAGATGATGCCTGTGACTGCAGCAGCCATGTCACACCTATGAGGTGACAAGTCTGATGACAAAAAGCCAGCACACAGGCTGCAGAGTGGATGGAGAGAAGGAGCCTGGGCCTCTAGTGGCATCATGGAGCACATCCCCAAACCTGGATCTGCCTACCCTCAGCCTTCTAGTTCTGTGAGATAACAAAATGCCTTTATTGTTCAGGCCATTGTTAGTAACTCGACACGACTGTTACAGGAGGTGCCTTCCTAAGGGACTAACCCTAAAGAATGGAAGATGAAGCACCTGCATGGTGTTACATTGGGGTTGGTGAGATGGAAATCACCTAATACTGATTAGGAAATCACCTAATACATCCAGCAGATGGCAGTTTCCAAAAACAACCACGACAATATTTCCAGTCCCATATGTTCTCCAGAACCCTGTCAAGAGGTAAAGTCAATGTCCCCTCCCTTGAATCTGGAAGTGTCTCTACTAATTGCCTATGGCAGAAGTGATGTGTGCACTCCAATGCCAGATCATAAAAGGCAATATAGCTTCCGCCTGGCTCTCTCTTTCAGGATGGTCGCCCTCAGAACCCAGCAGCCATCCCGTGAGGAAGCCCAGCTCACACGAAGAGGCCCACCTGGAAGGCAACTGAGTCTTCCAGCCCTCAACCCTGGCTGAATTCCCAGCCAACAGCCAGCACCTACTTGCTAGCCCAGCCAGTGAGCAGGCTAGGAAGGGGATCCTCCAGCCCTCAGTGGATGCTGGGGCATAGATGAGCCTTCCCCGTCAAGCACTGCCCAAGCTGGGGGCTCATGAACTAAATAAGACATTACTGTTGTTTCAAGTCACTATGTCTGGGAGTGGTTTGCTTCTCTGAAATAGATAATCAGAATACGAACTTTAGTAAAATGGTTCATAACAATGGCAATGCCAGCAGCTAATACTTACCAGGTGTTTACTCAGTGCCAGGCACCATGATTTACACACGTTACCTCATTAAAGCTTGAAAAAAACACACACCTTTGACATAAACATTAATGTTATCCCCATTTTGCAGCCGAGAGAACCAGTGAACAGAGAGGCCAAACACATTGCCCAAGGTCACCCAGCCAACGGGTGACAAATCTGAGATAGTTAAATCTGTGCTACACAAACCTGGGGCTCATATACCTCTTGCAAAGTGCCGGGGATACACAAAATCACATGATAAACATTGCTACTTCTGGGGACATCTCTATTACTTGATGGTTTGGGAGGGAAATATTTTTATATTATGCTTTTTTCTTTGAGACAGGGTCTTGCTTTGTCACCCAGGCTGGAGTGCAGTGGCACCATCTCAGCTCACTGCAACCTCTGCCTTCAGGGCTCAAGCACTTCTCCCACCTCAGCCTCCTGAGTAGCTGGGACTACAGGTGGGAACTACCACACCTAGCTAATGTTTACATTTTTTGTAGAGACAGGGTTTCTTCATGTTGCCCAGGCTGGTCTCAAACTCATGGCCTCATGTGATCCACCCGCCTCAGCGTCCCCAGGTGCTGGGATTACAGGCGTGAGACATGGCGCCCAGCCATATTATGCGTTTTATAAAAAGATATATTTTTTATTGGAAACCACTATTTGAATGGATTATCAGAATAAGCCATAAATTTTTGTGCCAGCTGTGGCCAACCAAAGTCCTTGTCCCCTTGTCACCCCATGCCCTGTCGCTGGGGGCTGCATTCCTCACGTAGCATTCATCGGGTGTGGAATACAGCCAGTGGCGCAGCCATGCCCTCCTCTCCTCTGCCAACAGAACCCATCTGGACCAACTCCTCCCAGTGGCCCTGTCCTCTGGGGCGGTCTGAGCCCTCACAGTGATTGCCATGTGATTGGTTCAGGCAGGGGCCAGCAGGATGCTACGGGAAGCCTGCTGCAGGGACTTCTGGGAAAAATGCGTGTCTTCTTCAAAAAGGACATGAGGCCAGGGCATTCCTTTATTCCCAAGGCAGGGGAGGTGTGAAGAGGGGCCCGGGAGAAGCGGCCAGCCTGCTGGGCTGGGAATTGGTGGGGTTGCTAAGCCACCCAATAAACCATCCCTAGAGTCGGCTTTTCGTCATTCAAAAAATTCCCCAGTGTCTGTAAATGTAAATTTAAAAAATTTTTTTTTTCATCTTTATTTTCATTAACCCCTAACCAGATGTTCACATTTCTCTCTATTAGGAATGCAACAAATCATAGGAGTGTTAGCCATGCCCGTGACTTTGCCATCAAAAGAGATCACAGTGATTTCGATATCACATTACAATTGCTGCAGATATCTCAAAATATTGTTTATGCTCCTCTTGACTTTAAAATTATGGTAGCTGTGAGGCCTGCTGTTAGATCCTCTTTAATTGTTAATGAAAAGCGCACATATTTCTATAGCACAAAGAATTTCGTAATAGCTTGTGTGGTGCCCATGACAATGCACCTTGCAGGCCTCCAACAGAGTAACTGACTGAGAGTGCCAGCTGCTTCCAGTTGAGGTCTAGCTGTGTTTGCCAGAGCGCCTTGCTAGGGCTGCTCCCAGTCAGTGACTGAGTCCCAGGGGACATGAAGACCAGCCATTCCTGAGAGACAGTGGACTCCTGACAGCCAACTTTGGCTGAGGCCTCCCAGGAGCCTTGATGAACTTTCCAAAGGCTTCTAATCTTCCTCCCTCCCTCCCTCTCTTCTTTCTTTCCTTCCTTGGAGGCCTGATTTCTCTCCCAGTCTCACCTGCTAGCTCCCTCCCCATTTTTTCTCACCAGCCAAACTGTTTAATTTTGTCTTGGCATCCGTTTCTTGGGGAACCCAGACTAACAGTTTGATAATGGCTTTTCAGTATAGCGGCCTTCTTTTATAATGAAATGTACTGTATTTTCTGTTTTGAAAACCACAACTCTTTCATTGGTACATGCTTATCTCCAAACTCATCAAGCTGTCTACATTAAATATGCACAGCTTTTTGTATGCCAATTATGTTTCAATGAAGTGGTTAAAAAAAATACCACTATTCTGTGATAGGGTCCACACATTTCACCAGATTCCAGAGGCCAATGGCATAAAAACAGTACAGAAGTCTTGCCCTCTTGTTTAAGCTGCTGTTATTTGGATTTTCTATTATTTACTAAGCAAATCATCCCAACTCTTAGAAAGTTTCAGTGAAAAATTCTGAGAAGCTCTGGTTGGGGTAAACTAGTGTAATGGAATGTTAAAATGTGGCTCTTCCTGCCTTGCAGTTTGGAATAAGCCCCCAAGGCTGAGAACAGCCCCCTGGTTGCCAAGAACGCTTGCTGCAGTGTGTGAAGTGTTAGACCAGGTTTGTGGACACAGGGTGAGCAGATAGATAGGCCCTGTCCCTGAGCAGCTTGCGGGGCACACAGAGAGACTGACAGGCCCAGTCCCTGACAGCCAAGCACCCACCTCCCCATACTACAAGGCATACTGGAGTCACAGTGGTCCCATGACCCATGTCAGTGTCCTGCCCACCTCCCCACCAACCCTGCCAGCCTGAACTGCTGGCAAGGGAGAATGCTTCCATGGGAAAAAAGTTAAGAGCAATGCAATGTTTACACTGGACATTTAAATGCCAGACCCTCTTGGGTCTGTTCTTATATTCCCCTAAGAGCTCCAAGATGGGCTGGGGCTGTGGCCTGGCGGGAGGAGGGTCCCCACAGGGTGGTGGAGAGGGGATGATGTTGCCTGCTCCCTCCTGAGTCCTGGGCTGCTCTGCTGCCACTGATGAGGAAGATGAAGACTCGGCAGACACCAGGAAGACAATGCAGAGGAGATGCCCGAGGGCTGCCCTGTGACTGGCCGGGCCACAGCAACTATGTGAAAACTTTCACCTGTGGGTGGGCAAAGATCAACCATGTCACAAAGACAGGCCTTATGGGAAGAGTGGAGGGATTGGGGGGACTCTTCTCCCTCTATTCTCCAAATTTAGGGCAATGTTCTGTTTTTAACACTCTCTCCTCCTGAACGGAATCCAAATAAGATCCCGGAATTAATACTGAAACCCAGTGGTTCTCAAAGTGTGGTACTCAGACCAGTAGCACCCTCAGAACCTGGGGCGATGGTTAATTTTATGTGTCAACTTGATTAGGCTATGGTGCCCAGTTGCTTGGTCAAATACTAGTCTAGATATTTCTCTGAAGGTAGTTTGTAGATGTGATTCACATCTGCAATTATTAGCTTTTTTTGAGATAGGGTGTCACTCTGTCACTCAAGCTGGAGTACAGTGGAATGATTTCGGCTCACTGCAGCCTCAACCTCCTAGGCCCAAGCAGTCCTCCCACCTCAGCCCCCAAAGTAGCTGGCACTACAGGCACATGCCACCACACTCAGCTAATATTTTTGTATTTTTTGTAGAGACTAAGTCTTGCATGTTGCCCATGCTGGTCTCAAGCTCTTGGGATCAAGCGATCCTCCCACTTGACCTCCCAAAGTGCTGAGATTACAGGCATGAGCCACTCACCCGGCCTGTAATCATTAATTTTAAGTTACCACCCTTGATAGCATGGGGGAGGGTTCATTTAATCAGTTGAGGGCTTAAGAGTAAAAACTGAGTGTTTCTGAAAAAGAAGCAATTCTGCCTCAAAACTGTAACATAGAAATCCTGCCTGAAGCTCCACCCTGCTGGCCTGCCCTGCAGATTTCAGACTCGCCAACCCTCATAATATTGTATGAGCCAATTCCTTACACACACACACACACACACACACACACACACACACACACATGCTTTCCTTTCTCTGGAGAACCCTGACTGCTATACCTGAGAACTTGCGAGAAATGCAAATTCTCAGGCCCCCACCAGGCCGACTGAATCAGACACTCTGGGGTGGTGGGTGGGATGCTTGAACAAGCTCTTCAGGAGATTCTGTTGCATCCTCAAGTTTGAGAACCGCTGTTCCACAATCTCGATACTGAAAGTGTATGCACAGACCAGCAGCACTGGCAGGTCCTGGGAGCTGGTAGAAATGCACATTCCCAGGCCCCACCCAGACCTGTGAATCAGGCTCTGCATTGAACCAGGTCCCTGGATGCTGCACGGGCACTCTAGGGTTTGAGAAACACTGACCTAGTGCTTTCCCAGGGACACAGCGAAGAGACAGTGTTTCCTGGACTCTTGGAAATACCAGTGGTCAATTATCAGGCACTTAATGCCAAGCCCTTGATATAACTTGTATAATTCATGTGTTGAATGTGTGTAACTTCACTGAATTCTCTCACAACCCTGTAAGGTAGACACACTCATTAATTCCATTTTACAGATGAAGAAATGAGCCCAGAGGGACTTAAAGGGGTTGGGTGACCTGCTCAGAGTCATATAGCTTGTAAGCAGTGGACACAGAATTAGAACCCAGGCCAGAAATGACTAGAAGCACAGAAGCACCCACTCTCCACTCCCCAGACAGGGTGCCTCACGATTTGGGAGACAGGACACACACACACAGACATACAGAGCCAAGATGCCTCCTCTTAATTACAGCTGTAGCTGCCGTTGTGTCTGCTGCTAACAAAGGCTGTGGGCTGGGAATGGAATCAATTTAATATGCAAGTGCTGTTCCCAATTAGCACAAATTACCATTTGTCTGAGAGGATAATGCTGGGAGCTGGAATCCGCCCCGGTGGGTCACAGAACTCCGCCGCATCAGCCTAATCCCTACTGCTGCAGCCACAGCCTTCCTCACTGTCTTCCCTGGACACAGGAGAGGCAGGATGGGCCAGGGGAAGAACCTGGGAGGCAGGTACACCCTGGCTCCATGCCCGTTGGGAGCATCCATTATTTTTGTCAGCCCAATGTCAGTTGCCCTCCAAGCACCTGTGTTATTGGCTAAATCTGCATCAGCCAACATCAGTCTTCAGCTCCACAGGAAAGGTCTGCTCCCTCCTCCCTCCCGCTCCCTCCCTGGGGCCTGGAACATTCTCAGGCCTGGAAACATAAGAGGGCTTTGATCACTTCTGCATTCAATAAACACTCATTGAGCACCTACTGTGTGCCGGCAGCCATAGCTGCTGGGTCCACACACGGCAGAGAAGAGGAGCTAAAGCTGGCCCTTCGGGAAGGCAGACTGCATCTAAGGCTGCATTCCCAGACAGTGTCTGCACCTGATCCCTGCTCTGGTGCCTGGGACTTGTTCCCTCCCACCAGCCCCGGGCACTGGGCACTCACAGGCTTCATGATCCAGGTGATTCCTGGGTTTTTGCGAAACTCCTCCACAAAAAGATGGTACTCGCAAGGCATCTCAAAGGTTTTGGGAAAGAAGTCGCACTTGGCTGCCTCCAGCTTTCCCGCTTCGCGCTCCAGCTGCTTCCGGAACCGCTTCAGGTTCTTTACCATATAGTTCTTCCGGGTCAGCTGGGTGGCGGGAAGGACAGGCAGCCATTAGCTCCTGCTCGCAGCCCCGCTCCCCTCCCAGCCACACACATCCACCAGCCACCCTGCAGCCTCCATGCTCTGGCCCACAAAATAGCAACAGTAAGAGTAACTTTGACCCAGAAAGAGCTTGCTAGTCAAGAATTATCCCCATTTCACAGATGAGGAAACTGGGGCTTAGAGAGATTAAGTCAATTGCTCATAGCTATCCAACGAAGCTATGGATTTGACCAGGATTTGACCAAGGCCTGTCTTGATTCCAAAATTCATGCTTTTGGCTGAGCGCAGTGGCTCACACCTGTAATCCCAGCACTTTGGGAGGCTGAGGCAGGCAGATCACAAGGTCAGGAGTTCGAGACCAGCCAGGCCAACATGGCAAAACCCCATCTCTAATAAAAATTAGCCAGGCGTGGTGGTGAGCACCTGTAATCTCAGCTACTCAGGAGGCTGAGGCAGAAGAGTCACTTGAACCCGTGAGGCAGAGGTTGCAGTGAGCCAAGATCGTGCCATTGCACTCCAGCCTGGGTGACAAGGGCAAGACTCCATCTCAAAAAAAAAAAAAAAAAAAAAAAAAATTCATGCTTCTAACCACTAAGCTAGACTAACCTTTAAAAATCTCCCACCACAGCCTCCCCCAGTCCTGTCCCTTCTGGACCTCCTTCCCATCTTTAGACCCCAAACTTCTCAACTTGCCTCCACCCTGAAATCACCATAATCATTCATACATCCTCTCCCTTCAGACCCTGCACCCTCAAACCAGCTTGCTCCTCAAATCTTGGTGCTGAAACTCCAACCAACCTGTGACCTCCAATCCTCAGGCCTTAGATCCCTATACCCCCAAACCATTTGGCTCTCCATAGGTCTAGCCCTCATACTCCCCACCCGGCATTGCATCCCACATTCTAATACACTTTTCCAATATACTTTTCTGTTCTGATCCTTGTACCAGCTCCAGCTCATGGCCACACCCAGTGACATGAGTTGGTTGGCTCGGTCCCCTCCTGCCTGCCCAGCTTACCTCGTAGTGGTTCCGGAAGTGACTGATCCGCACGTGTTCGTCCATGTAGGTGTGGTCGAAGTTCTCCCGGAGCCAGCTGACGTCGCACCAGTAGAAATCCCACTCTCCTTCACTGGGGTTGCGGTTGGGGGTGGGGATAAAGGTTATGATCTGAGGACCTTGGCACTGCAGGGCCCAGGGAGGTGCTGCCGAGGGGGTTTGAGGAAGGGTACGCAGCAATGTGTCCCTCTGGAGTCTCTTGAAAGTGGCCGTGGGTGTCACTGGCCTAAATGTTCTTTGTTAGACCAGAGCAAAAACCAGGGAACTGTTCCCACAAAAATCCAGGTGGCTGGCTTCCCTCGAGCTATCACTGAACCCAGAGTGCCTCCTGGCACCTATTAGTTGGGCTGAGGAGCGGCCACCCCTTCAGACAGGGCACACCCTCCCCAGACCACAGTCCCTACGACTCTCTGTGGTGCGACAGCCACTTGGCCTCACTTGTTCTTGCCAGTTGCCACGCCTGCAGCCCGCAGTGGAATGAGCTAACTTCTGCAAGCCCCTCCCAGTTCACAAAACTCTCCGTTCACCAAATCCTCAGAGCAGCCGTCAAAGGTGACTTGGATCATCCCCAGAGCTCTAAGGCGGGATGACCTTGCTCACCGAGGACATGGCAGCAGCAGGACCCACATCCAGCTCTGCTGGCTCCAAATTCTGACCCATTCTCCACCACCATGCCAGGGAGAGGAAACCGGGTCAATCTACCAAATCTGGGTGCCAGTGCTAGGGTGCTGGGAGGAGGAGCTTGAAAAGATGCCACAGGAAATAAAACACCACCATGATTGTTCACAATCATTTTTAAGTAAAAAAGTACAGATACAACTGAAGCACCCTGTCTATCCCTGCCTGATTCTATCTTCTTCTCTCCTGCTGCAAAGGAAACCATCAGCCTGAGTTTGGTGTGTTATCATTTCCATGCAGTGGCTTTTTTTTTTCTTTTGAGACGGAGTCTCACTTTGTTGCCCAGGCTGGAGTGTAGTGGCGTGATCTTGGTTCACTGCAATCTCTGCCTCCCAGGTTCAAGCGATTCTCCTGCTTCAGCCTCCCAAGTAGCTGGGACTACAGGTGCGTGCCACCACAACCCGCTAATTTTTTACTTTTAGTAGAGATAGGGTTTCGCCATGTTGGCCAGGCTGGTCTGGAACTGACCTCAGGTGATCCACCCACCTTGGCCTCCCAAAATGCTGGGATTACAGGTGTGAGCCGCAGTGCCCGGCCTGCAGTGACTTTATAGTTTCATCATGTACATATGTGTGTATCCATGCATCATGGCACATGGCATTGTTTGTCATGATTTTAAACCTAACACTAATACTTATTACTTACTGGCAGAGCAGGATTTGAACTCAGGTCTCAGGCTCCAGAGTCCAAGCTCTGTGGTTAGAACCACTCCCGTCTGTTTCTTTTCACAACATGCTTTCTTCCCACCAAACTTTTGTTTTGGAGATCGATCCTTTTGATACATAGGAGTCTAATTCAGTCATTCTAATTGCCATTTCCCATTCCATTGGGTGAACATACCACAGTATATCCATTTTCCTATTAAATGGTGTTTGGGGCTGGGCGTGCTGGCTCACACCTGTAATCCCAGCATTCTGGGAGGCCAAGGTGGATGGATTGTTTTAACTCAGGAGTTTGAGACCAGCCTGGCCAACATGGTGAAATCCCATTTCTACCAAAAATACAAGAAATTAGCCAGAAGCGGTGGCATGCACTTGTAGTCCCAGCTACTCTGGAGGCTGAGGTGGGAGAATCACTTGAGCAGGGGGTTGGAGGTTGTGGTGAGCCAACATTGTGCCACTGCACTCCAGCCTGGGTGACAGAGTGAGACCCCATCTCAAAAAAAAAAAAAAAAGTGTTTGGTTTGTCTCCCTTTCCCCCCACCCCTTTTCTCTAATACAGACAAGCAGACTGAGTTTTAAAGGACATCTGAAGGAAATTTGAGGCAGAAATGGAGAAAAGTGAAGAGACATTGCCATCACCTTGGGATGATGAATGAACAGGCCCTGAACAGGACCAATGGGGAGGATGCAGGGGCAGACTGTAGTTCCAAAAGATGCCTACACTATATCCCTCATCCAGAGGCTGCGGGGCTGTGAGGCCACAAGGAGAACCCATGAGAACCTTCCTCAGCTGTCTGCCCTAGTGAGATCCCCACAAACAGCTAGCATCGACTGCCACACTTGTGAGTCAGATGCCCTCAGACTACTCCTGCCACCAAGTGACCTCCAGATCTGGACTCTTCCCAGCTGATGCCCCCAGCTGATGTCACAGAGACAAGCCAGTCCCACTGTGTCCTGTAAGAGTCCCTAACTCACAGGAGCCCCGCGCCTAATGCAATGCTGTCTTAAGCAGCTAAATTTTGGGATTTGTTACACAGCCATAGCAACTGGAACAATGGCCAAGCAGTTGAGCCTTGTGTTGTAAATGGAGCTCCCTTTGGAATTTTCTTCCCTTTTTCTTGAGACGAAATTTCGCTCTTGTTGCCCAGGCTGGAGTGCAATGGCACGATCTCAACTCACTGCAACCTCCGCCTCCCAGGTTCAAATGATTCTCCTCCTTCAGCCTCCAGAGTAGCTGAGATTAGAGGCATGCACTACCTTGCTTGGCTAATTTTGTATTTTTAGTAGAGACGGGTGTCTCCATGTTGGTCAGGCTGGTCTTGAAATCCTGACCTCAGGTGATCCGCCCGCCTTGGCCTCCCAAAGTACTAGGATTATAAGTGTGAGCCACTGCACCCAGCCTGGAATTTTCCTAGAACTAAAGATTTAAATTGCTTCTCCTTGTGGCTGCTGGTTTGGTGTTTCTCCTGAATGTCACATCATGTGCAGAAGGGCTTTAAAGCAGGCAGACAGGCCCAGTCTTTCACTGCCCTCAGAGATGTCCAGAGATGGACATCGGTGCACACACCGTGCACAGATGTGGTGACGTGAAGCACATGGTAACAGAATGACACTGGAACTAGAAATCTATGGTTTCCAAATTTTGTCCTAAGTTACTCATGAAAATCTGGGGCCTGGTCCTTCTCCAAACCTCCCCTGTGGCTGT